CACTATACTCTTTGTCTCGATTAAATAGTAGCCTATAGTATTAATAATAGATAGGTTAGTTACTCTATTACCTTTAAGGTTAGATAAGCCGTCGATATAGAGCTAAAGCTCGCTACTATGTTCGAACTAAGTAAAGACAGTATCGTAGATTCGATTGTAGGCCCTATCTAGTATAGTTTATCTAATCTACGTAGTACTAGGTAGCTTAAAAGTAGGGGCTATCGTAGATAGGAATACCTTTATTACTAGTAACTACTATAGATCGAAGGATTAATTGTCTTCGAAACATACGTTAGTAGCTAGTCGGCGAGTATAAGCCTACTAACTAGCCGTAAGAGTAGTAAATAGAAGGGCTAATTAGGCTATATCGCTATCCTTTACCTCGGTAGTACCTATAGCTATATCGCTAATAGTAGGTACTAGTATCTTCTTATACGAATCGAGATACCGTATCTACTACTACTTCTTATAAATAGACTCGGACGTATAATAGTAGTAGATATAGCGTACTCGTAGCTTTAAATAGACGTCGCTATAGTACTAGAAGTGTTTATTAACCTTATGTTCGCTATAGCGACCTATAGTAGCGTATATAGAGTGGTGGTTAATGATATTAAGAAGGTAGAGGACGAGATAAAGTCAAAAATCGCGTATTAGCGCGTTAAAACGCGAGAATAGCGCGTCTCCTAATTAAGATACTTAGCGGGTACGATAATAGGAAAATACTATACAAAATAACCTGCATTAGGTCGCACCCGCGAGTTTGCGCGCGACTAATTTAGATCGCACCTAAAAAGCGAACCCTGCGCTAGAGTATCGGGAGCGGGAGCGGAAACGGGAGCGGAAACGGGAGCGGGAATGGGAGGGTCACATCCAGTTTCCTTCATTTCGACTTTGAACATGAACATCATCTCTGAATTGCAACGCGACTGCGTCCAACGCCATCATCAGGGCAGTCAGATATTGTCATTAGACACTTCTCAGCTCTGGACGTTCCTGTCCGCCCGCCTGACGCTGAATCTGCCCTGCAATTGATCCCACGATTTTCGGAACCGCGAAACCAAGTGCAAGATGAGGCGAGGTACAGATGGGTCGTGTCGCTCTCACTATTGAGGGTTTTGCGACACGCCCGAGCAGTGCTTTCCCGGCAAGGGAGAACCGAGGACTCCAACAGAGTCGAACCACTGATCCGGCAATACCAAGAGACCGCAAACGAAGACACCGCGGACGAAGAACATCGCACTGCAGCAGAGGACGCGAAGCGCGAGTTTACATTTACCATTTAGCGGGGCACAACGTGTTAGATGAATGTGTGGGTATCAAGCTAGACAAAACAACTGACTACGGAACCGGATTTCAGTGCAGGACCACCAAGAACGCCACGCTGGAACCCACAATGCAAATGGTCTCAAGCAATTCCCTCCTCGGGAGTCTCTTGGGGGCTGATCTCTCCTCGCGCCACGCCAAAACGAGGAGTGCGGTCTGAGCCTCTCTGTCTGCGCCTGCCTCTCGGCTCTTCCTCCTCAATTTCCGCTGCCTGCATGTTTGTGTCCGAATACATCGAGCTGGTCGATGAACCTATTGACTCTACGGATTCGGAGCTGAGATCCCGTGACTGAACGGCGTGTCGCTGGATTTTGGGGCCACTGGCGCCAGAAGGCATGTAACATCCGGCGTTAACGCTCGTCGGTTTGTCGTTGCCCGAGGTTTTCCATCGGCGAGCCTGATATGTGGGAGGTGGTTCATCGCCAGGCTCCTCTTCTGGAATGTCGTCTTCTCTTGTAGGCCCAAAGTCGAACTTGAATGCGGAGAAGTCCATATCGAATTCGCTTCTGGCCTTTTGTTCGATACATGGAGAATCGCACTCGTCGGCGTACGAAGACTTGCTCGATTCGCTCCACCTGCCGGAGAAATCGGAGAAGCGGGTCGTGGATGGACTGTCCAGCTCCTCTTCTTCCTTCACGATGTGGTTGCAGCCTGTGTTCAGTTGATGGAGTTCAAGAGTAGGAACATTGTCCGCCTGTTGCCAGTCATCATCCAATTCTTCCGGCGCGTGAAGAGTCTCTTCATCTGGGCTGGCCTCCTCGTTGATAGGACCTTGGCCAGCTTCGTCGCATTCCAGTCCGTTGCCATAACCTTCCACCATGATTTCACAAAACGAAGGTCTCTTCTTGGGCAGATACACCAAGCTGCTGCGTCTGACACTGTTCCGGCGCGAGAGACTCCCAACGGCCGACCGAACGCTCGAGCGGATCGATGCGGTGCGCGACAGTTGGGTGCCGCTGCGGCGGAGCGGAGAAGACATCATGTTCAAGCTCATATCATCCGATGCAGAGCGCGTGAGGCGATCCCTCGCAAAGTATTCGTCGGCGCAGTCAGCCTCGCAATCGGGGTGGATAGAAATGCGGTCTTCTTCGAGAGTTCTCCGGACAGCATCCATCTCCGCAGAAAGTTCAACGTCAAGCTGACCCCGCTCGGGCATGGTATTCGTGTTCGCAGCCATTGTCCAGGGTGGATTGGGAATGGTCGGAATGCACAGAGGATAAGAAGGCGACTCGATGTCTTGTACTCCTGCTGGAGCCCGCGTAATGCTGATGAGCATCTGCAGCACCCCACAGATCAGAATCCACCTGACCTTCCGCGCTTCAATGACCGACACGCGTTCTTCCAGTTTGAGGCGCTCGAAGCGCATGTACTCCCGCACGAGCCTATTTCCGGTGATCTCAGGGTTGCGGCTGTTGGATGCCTGGGTTAGGGCCTGCTTGGCGGCCATGTCTAAATTCGACGACACCAGTGTGCGCCTTCGCAAGTTGCGGAAGCCACGCTGCATGTCGATGGAATCGCCAACCATGGCTGGATCGGGTAGCAAAGGCATTGGGTGCGGCAGCGAGTCGAATCCGTGGCGCTCGTCGAAGGCTTGAACGTTCTGCACGGCGCAGATGCCTCCGTTCAGCCCTCTAATACTGGCGATATCCGTCGACGATCTGGTATCGGCCAAGTAGCTGTACAGACTTTGGAAATCATCGTACATGCCGCACCACAGCCTCTTCTCCCAGAGAAGGTTCGGATCCGGAGGGAAGTATCCGACTTCATGGACATAGAAAGTGTGCAATGTGCTCCTGAAGCGATCCAGATGGTCTCTCAACGGCTTCGACAGACCCAGATATTCGGGGCCCAGGTCTTCTTCGAGGAACTCTCCCAGCGCCTTGGTTACACTGGCGATATGCGACTCCATCTCCTGTGCGGCACGGTCGATCAACGTCCTTGTCATCTTGCTCAATGGCTGTACTTCTGGACAGTTATCCAGATGGTCTTTCATGCCCACACAATGCGCGAATGCGTCGGACCAGATGTCCTTTATCCGCGCCCGCTCGGCCAGGTAGAGGGATGCTGCAGCATAGTCTGGATTCTCGCCGAAGTTGAGATAGCCTTGCTCTTGACAATAGTCTAGGAAATCCGTCGAGGAGACTCCCTCGGAGCCATGCCACAGCTCTATTCTGCTAGCAAGGTCAGAGAGAGCTTTGCCAAGATTCTGGCCGACGAGAGGCTTGTGGAGGAGGTAGGCGAAGTAGTTTCGCGTGGTGAGGTGGTAGAGGTAAGCTTCGTTGCGCGAGCAACCGGCCGGCGATGGGATGAAGATGTCGCACGGTCGACCGTCTCGAAGCTCGTGTGAAGCGGAGCCGTAGCCGCTGTCGGAGCCCTCGTCAGATGAGGCAGAGGAGTCTGCAAGCGTTGGGCCGGGAGCTGTCATGGGTCTGTGCAGGCATGCCTCGAGGTTATGCGTCCGGTCCAGGGCGGCGAACGGGATTTTGAAACTGCAGCCTCGCCGCGACGTTCCTGCGTTGTAGAGGTGGACGTAGCAGGTTCCGGAGCTGTTCCAGAGCTCTTCGTCCTGTGAAGGATATGACAAGGTCAGTCAATCGGAGAGGATATCCGGTCGGGGAGGGATTGTTTACCTTTCGCAGGCCATCCCAGCCTCTGCTTGTGCGATGCAAGCCGTCGAAGCGCTTTACTCTCTGCAAGGCACCGCGCGATGAGAAGGTCGGAAGACTTTCGAGGGTGAAGGCGCGCTGTCGTGATGAATGTTGTGGATGAAGCGGCGCCGTCATTATCGTACAATCAGCAAAGCAGTGCGTCGACGAGATCTCTTCTCTTGAGGTATCTTGGTCGAAGCTGCAAGACGATCCTTTAGAGCCGTTCCTTTCCCACGAGGTCGGTACCAGCACGCAGGATCGGGATACGGGGATTCTCTTTTAGAGGGTGTTGTGTTGCTGGTGGCGGCTGCCGCCGGACTTCATACTGACGATAAGTAGTAAGTACAGCAGAATGGTTCATGCAAGGGGGCCCCCAATACTCCGACGGTGCTAGGCTAGGCACAGGTAGTTGCAAAGACCATGACCGGGTAGTGTAGTTTCGAATTGTCGGCTTCTGATGCGATGGACGGGAGAGAGAATTGCGGCTCTGTAGGACCGGGGGCGGGTACAAGATAGATCTGGCTCTGGGGGAAGCGTGGGACGGGAAGGGCACAGGTGGAGGGTGACGCGCAAAGCAAGATTTCCAGAGGGATTGGATCAGATCTGCAGGTTTGGAGCTTGATGCCTGTGTGGACGCCTTCTCCGTCTGGTGGCAAGGCCAGTCCAACGGTGACCAAGCAGGACAAGCGGCCCAGACTGGCTCCGCCCCGAGGCCGACGACGCCGAACAGCGACGATAACATTGTCGTCACGCGAGCGTGGCAATGGCTATTGGAAGTGGCTTGCACGAATTCTCGGAAGGCAGAGCACCCAGACAACAAGCCGGGAAAGGCCAATGTCGATGTGCATATGGGGCGCTGCGCCATCCGAGCGCATGCAACAGGCTTTCTCTCTCGCCGTCCGGGTACGCTTGGCCTCTCCGATCCTGCAGCTGTTGGTTGGACGACGAGCTGAGCTGTTTGCTTCCTACTATAATGCTGGACCCCAACACAGCCATTCATTCGCGGACACTGCCAGAGGGCGATGTCTTGTGAGGGGTGCATTAGAGCATGTCTACCGCGCTTTGGCCAGGTGTAAGAGCTTAAAGGGTGCCTACCGGTTCGTTAGCTCGTTTTGTCCGTACTTATAAGCTAAGTGAATGACTTTTAGCTAATCAAACTCTGCCTGTCTACCGCCTACCAATCCGGTTAGCGTTAGCTCGAGTAGTACAACACGCTACTACTAGGTAGTAGCGACCTTTAGCGCTTTAATATAGTAAGATTAGCGATATAGTGTTTAAGCTATCGCTAAAGGAGAGTAAGTAAGTAGCCTAGCGTTGTCTTTATCGTTAAGGCACGCGTACTACTACTCTAGACGCGTCGTCGATAGATCTATATACTATTATTAGTACTACTTTAGATAGGTAAATTATATATATACTATAGAATCTAGTAATAGATCTATAGTCTACTTTAGCTAAGTTCGTAGTAGCTAGTTCTTAGCCGCCTAGTAGTTAAGAGCTACTACCTTCTTTATAGTAGTAGTAGTCTTAAAATCTACTATATTACTCGTAGTAGATTAGCTCTTAGTATATTAGATAGTAGTATATTAGCTATTAAAACGTCGGCTACTAGTAGTTTAGTTATTAAGAGCTATATAGTAGTACCTATCCGACGAGTAGCCCTTTCGAATTAGCCTCTTCGCCGCTAGCCTATTAAGTAGCGATACTATAGCGCGTACTAACGTACTTCGACCGTAGCGTAAACGGTATCTATATAGGTACTATACTACCGATTATATTATTATCTAATCTATAGTAACTACCTACGCTATAATCGTAGGGCTAGAGTAATACGCTATTCGTAGGCCCTCCGAGTAGTTTACTAATACTACTACTACCTATCTAGTAATAGCTAGCTCCGAGCTCTTACTCGGTTATTAATACTACTAGCTCTTAGCCTATATATATATACTACTATAGTAAGTAAGAGTAGCGGAACTAAGAGCTAGCGTAGGCGGTACGGTAGGCTAATACTATACTACTAAATCTATTGTACGTACGCTAAGAGGAGGTTAATAAGGTACCGTAGGGCTACGAAGGACCGATATAGGGTATAGTAAGCTCTTCTAATATAGTAGATAGTAGCTAAAATACTACTAAACCTACTAATTTTAACGTTATCCGAGAGAACTCTAGACTAGCGATAGGTATAGTAATACTAGTTAATACTATATCTAGCTCTTCTACTTAGTAACTAGATACTACTTCTTCTTTATAAGCTAGTATACCTACTTTCGATCCGAATCCGAGCGTAACTATAATATAAGAGGTAGTATAGGGCCTATAGGAGGAGGATATACCTAATAGTAATTAGTAGTACGTAAATAATATAGTAAACGATATAGACATATATTAAGATGTCCTAGGCCGTAATAAGAACGGTAAATAGTACTAGAAGAAGATACCTTATTAGTAGACGGAGAAAACGTAGGAAGTAGTAGTTATCTACCTTAATAAGAACATATACCCTTTAAATAATAGCGTGTTAATTACTATATAGCTCGGTAAGATATAGAAGGAGCTTAGTAAGTATAGGGCTATATATATAACGTACCTATATCGTACTATATTTAGTAGCTCGTATAGTACGCGTAAACCGCCGTTAGTTAGATAGATTCCGGTACGAATTAATAAGCTTAAGGTAGTTAAGATAGAGCGAAAGCTAAATAGTAAGGGCTACGAGTCGATCTAGTAGTACTAAACGGCCTAAGACAGGTTCCGGAAGGGTTTAATTACTAGTACTAATAGTAAACTAGCTAACAATCTACTTAGTTACGTAGGCTACGTTAGTATAAAGGGTAAATAGGCTCTTAAAGCTAAGGATAGACTTAGTACTCGTACGGACGGCTAACTTAAGGCTCTTTAAGAGTAGTAGGCCTCTATTTACTAGGTAAAGATAGCTAAAAAGAGGCGTTAATACCGAGAGGAAATAGAGCTCTAGCGTAAAGAGCTATAGGTGCGGATTCGTAGTAGTAGTAGTAGTACCGACGGCGTAGTAAACGCCTTATAAGCGGATCTTAATAGACTAAGTAGTCGCTATATTACGCTCGAATTAAAGGTAGATAGCGGCTTCGATAGGCTTCTAGCGGCTATTTAAGATACTAGATATAGTAGTAGTAGTAGTAGAAGGCCTCCGGTAACGCCTAGTACGGATTAGTTAATATAGTAGTAGTTTATTCGCTAGTATAGTACGAAATTAGTAGTACGATTAATAAGCTAAGGTCGATTTAGAGTCTATACGTTATTACTTTTACTGTCCGTAGACGAAGAGATAGAAGTAGGCGGTAGTAGAGTAGGCGGTACTTCGAGGTAATAATACCTTTATATAAATTTATAGTATAGCTTACTAAAAATAGCCGGAAAGTTCCGTCCGATAGTACCTACGACTCTTTAAAACCCTTAGAACACCTACTACTATCTCTCGTCTAACGAATAGGCCTTAAAATAGTAACGTAATTACTATTACGACTATAGCCCTTCGTAAAGCTACGTACGGCTTTACGAATCTACTAACCCTCCGGTACCTATAAATAGTACTATACTATCGATACTATTACTAAACTTACGCTAGAGCTTCTTCTTATTACTAAGAAGGCCTACTAATCGATCCGGAAGGTCGCCGTAACGTTAGTTAGCGTAGGCTACGCTAGCGAGGTAATCGTCTAGAGTCGGTAGTAGGTAACTAAACATACCGTTTATAGTCCCCTATTTGCCCTCCTTACTACGTATATACGTTAGATAGTTCTAAAGTAATATTAATACTAAGAAGTAGATACTAACCGGCTATACTATCGCCCTTACTACCTTACTAAAGTAGACGTACGTAAACTAGTTAAAGTTGTTACTAAACGCTATCTCGATAAGCTAGTAATTCGTACGCTATATCTCGTTAAAAAGGAATTACCGGCCTACGTAGTAGCGGAACGGATTAATTATACTAAACTTCGATTAATAGATACTATCGCCGAATAAGAAGAGAACCGGTTAGTCTAGATTAGCTTCCTCTATGTCCTATATACGCTCTACTATACCGGATTCGTTATATATAGTACTATCGTTTACTAGCCCTAGATCCGGTATAGACGAAGATACTACTAGCCTATTAGGTATAGTAATATACTAGATTTTCTAGCCGTTTACTCCGTAATAGCTAGAGTAAGTAGCTATCTAAAATCTATTATCTACTAGCCTTATAAACTTAAGGAACGTACTATTAATAAACCCCTATATACGCCCTTATCTATAGCTAGCTTATTATAACTTAAAGGCGTATCTTGCTAAGGTAGCTCGATTACTTAGCGCTAGCTACTAGTAAATAAGGTAGCTCTAGTCTTAGTATAGCCTTTAGTACGTACTATTAAAGATACGAGATATCTAGTTATAGCTACGGACGATACGAAAGTCGTAGTAATAAGCTAGATAGGCTAATCGTTTATAGACTAAGAATAGAGCCTATAGTAGTGTCGCGACGTAATAGTAGCCTATTAACGACTTAATCTAGATTGGCTCCTTACTTAGTAATAGCGGTACTAATCGATCTAGCTATACTAGATAGAAGCGTATCTCTTTACGGTAGTTAATTAGATCTATACCTTCTAGGCCCTATTAGAAGTAAGAGTAGGTATACGACGCTTACTCTAGTATATATCTAATCTACTACTAGGCCTCTTAAACTATAAGGTTACGCTATTCGAGTATTAGTACGATTTAAGCTATATCTAGTATATCTATAGCGACTAGTAAAGGAGTAGTTATACGAGCTATAATACGAGCTATAATACGAGCTATAACACGAGCTATACTACACGCGACTAGAAGACGCGTCTTTCTGCCGCCAAGCACTGCTCACTAAGCTCGAATCAAGCGTTACGCTATAGACACATACTTAACGCAAAAAGGCTAGCAACAGGCTAGCTACTCGTGCTTATAGTAGCGCGAAAGAGACTCTCACAGCTGGCCAAAGCGCGGTAGACATGCTCTATTCGTATTGGCAGTGATGAATGACGACGACGCAGGACTGATGAGCCGTCGTCCAACTCTATGATGTCGCTGGGCGGGAGGCTGGCTGGACAGTGGCAGTGGCACACCGCCCTTGGCAAGGATTGGCCTGGCTCCAACACGTGGACGGCTATCGTATATACGCCATCGCGCGGCCATGACCATGTCCTCACACTCCGCTCCGAACAGGAAAACGTTTCAAGCTATGTACCGTCGAGGAGGCTGGCCCGTAGTAGTTCTGAGCGCACAGCCCCGCAGAAACCTGCCTCTCTCTCATCAGCATCAAGACCAGCCTTCGACGCAGAAGTACGACACACACACACTTCCCTGTACATATGATTCGAAACCGACGAGATCTGTGACGAGACATGTCAGATTCAGGCCCAATGCGTCACCCATGACACGCTCCATTACGCTCCATTCTGCGTGAAGGGCAAGCATGTCCCATGTGGTCCTGGGAGGGAACACCGCAACGCTGTTGGGAGAGCGCGCGCGCACTGTCTCACAACAAGACGCGCAGACGCAGTGTTTCGGTAGTACGTGCATGAACGCCCACTCTCCTACATACCCATACCCATATACGCATAGCCAGCCACACACAGCTCGACTTCACGTCCCGGATTGTTGCAGCTCGGCTTCGGGGGTGGAAACTGGGGGCTGGGACGAGACTAACTATTATGGCTGATGCAGATTAGCTTCACATTGCTGTCATGGTCGCATGCGGAGAGGACGTCTCAACCAAGGTAGCCGTCTGCACCAAGACAAGGATGCAGCTTTCTGGTCGGAAAGCATCGCGGAGACCAGCAGATGGTGAAACGCAATGTGCAATGTCTGCGTCCACCGGCTGCTTTGCTTTGCTTTGCTGCGTGAGCATGATAAGTTCGGTATCGTATCAGGCACGCGTATGCCTGTCCATCCCATCGTGAGTGCGGGGAGAGCATCCTCACTCTCACCAGGAACGGGAGTCTCTTTCATGACCATCCATCTGCCAAGATCGATCGCACGCCCACGACGGGACAGCTGAGGCTATCTCTCCGCACCATGTTCCGCCGCCTCTTCTCCTCCCCCGAACTCCCAAACACCGGCTCGCTCGCGCGCGACCTCCTCGCCTCCGAACGCACCTTTCTCGCCTGGGCGCGCACCGGCCTGGGCTTCATCGCCCTCGGCGTGGCCCTCGAGAAGGTCGAAGCGCTCGCCCTCATCTCCCCGACCTTCCTCCACCTCACCGACAGCCGGACCAAAGTCGCGGCCGGTGTCCTGGTCGCGAGCGGTAGCCTCTGCGTCGCGCACGGCACGCAGAGGTACTTCGCCACGATGAAGCAGTTGCAACGCGGTGTCTTTCGACCCAATGTTGTAGGCGTGAGTCTGATGGCTGCTACGTGTGTCGGGGTGGCTTTTGCCGGGAGCGTGATGGTTCTGAGGAATGAGGAGAGGAAGGAGACGGAGGAGGGGAGGGTGGGAAGAGATCGGGGCTGAGGAGGTGTATAAGCTGCTCTGGATTGGCTTGCGACACGACGCGGCCTTTATGCTGCGATCAGGCGGATGTTGTTGGTTGCGGACAAGTCGAGAAACGAGAGCCTGATGAGACGAACCCTTCTCTCAGCAGAGTTGGTGCAACGTCTGGTGCACCCACCGGAGCACGCTGCAAGTGGTACAAGAGAATTCCAAACGTCTAGTCTACAGTGTAATCCCACTCCACGAGACGGACTGAAGCGAAGAACAATCACTCACGGAACATGCGCCCGTCCGATTACGGCTTGGGGAACGAGCTCTCCTTCGCGATCCACGTCTCCATGTTCATCAGACCTGGGTGCGTCTTCTTCAACTTGGCAATATCCGCACCATATCCATCGCTACCGAACCAGTTGATCATCAGTCTCAGCTCCGTAACCATGGTCTTCAGCAAGTACCCGAATGGCCAGTACGTTCCCTCCAGCGGATATCCGGTAGTCTTCTTGAATGCTTGCGCGACCTGCTCCGTCGTCAACTCATCACCCGCCAGCCCAATGGCCTTCTGGTCGTAGCCGCTCGGATCCTCAAACGCCAGCTTGACGAAGATTCCGATATCCCTGGTCGCCACCCACTGCATGGGCTTGCTTCCCAACGTGTCCCTCAATGCGGCCATGAACACCTTGCTCGGGAATCCGGGCGCCAGATTATCCATGAACGCCACAGGTCTGACCACCGTCCAACCCATCTGGCTCCCCGCGGCTTTTCCCTTCAAGTAATGCTCAATCTCATACTTGCTCTGGAAATGCGGAATCGGCGTCTCCGTCTCCCAGCTCACTTCATCCCCGCCGCGATCCACACTGCTGTACACGAAATGTTCCACGCCGGCTTTCAAGGCCTCGTCGATCATCGCTTTCCCCTGTGTGATCTCGCCCTCGTGCGTCGCCCCCGGCCCTTGGGAGATCTGCACGCTGTAGACGCCCCAGAGCGCGCCGTGTTTCTCTTTGGCGGAACGGAACAGCGCGGGCACGTCGTTCTGATCGCCCTCGACGATGCAGATGTTCGAGGCCTTTGCCGCGAGGCCACGCGCTCCGGCGCCCGTCGCGTTGCGCGTCACGGCGAGGAGGACGAAATCCGGATGGTTGGCGAGGGCGTTGATGACGGCACCGCCCTGCTTGCCCGTGGCGCCTGTCACGAGGATGTTTCTTTTCGCGGACATGGTCGGTGGAATCGAATCGAACGAAACGAACTTGTTTGTTGTTTGCTATTGGGATGAGCTTTTCTTCGTGTCCCTGTCCTTTCCCCGGAATAATGTTGTTGTCTACTAAAAGGCTTCTCCTTCTCTCCCCTGGAGGGTTCCTGCAGCTGTACGGGGTAGATAGTAGATGTGATGCGGGAGAGGTGGCTTTGGTGACGTCTTCGTCCTTACCAATGCGTCGAATATAATTTGACCGTTGGTTTCCTGCTCGGATTGGGGGAGCCGAACTGTGGAATGTCGTCTGAGTGGATGGAACTTTTGGTCTACTCTCTCCCCGGCTCCGGAATCCGGATGGGCTCGACTAGGCTCTTTTGGGAGATTCTGCTGGTCCTCGATGGCTCCCTGCTATCTCCCACTTCGACGGGTAGACGTGTGGACTCTGGACGTACCGTACCGCGTCGCTCTCCCATTCTCATTCTTATCAATGTGTGAATGCCTCTCCAACGCTCCGGCGTGCATCCCTAGCGGTCTCTCTCACTCCTTGCTCTTTACTAGGCAGCACCGTCTCAAAAGATTCGGTCGAGCTCTTCTAAGGTAGTAGTATCCTACTTGCCCTTAGAGTAGAGTAGAGTAGAGTAGACCGAAAAAGAGGCCGCCGTACGCCGTCTAGATAGACCGTATACAATATACACGGAGGTCGTCGTAAATAGCTACGACGTTCTCGATAGTTTCTACTTACTTAGGAGTCGTCCCGAAGGTCCTAAGACGTCTATTAAATTTATTATAATTAGGATAATACTACGTAGGCGGGGAGACTTAGCTTCTGTCGCCGACTCGGATCTCTTACTTTTTTTACTAGTATTTAGTAGGTTTGTAAGATATACTACGAAGACGAAAGGTAGTAGCTTAGTAGTAGCCTATATCGGATATACGAACCCGGGTCGATCTTAGAGTAGTAGTATCTTCCTCTAGCTAGTCGTCGAGTACCTAAAGAAAGGTACCTAGTTTTAAAAGCTATCCGACTCTGTCTTCTCTCGGTTTTGCGCTCCCCCTTATCTCGCGATTGGCTCAATGTGTTCCCTCCTTCACATACTATTCCAAGATTTCCAATATAAGCGTCCGTGGACTCTCGTCACAGTCTAGGTACTCCGAGTGCCAAGAGGTATTGTACTGTACTCTATAAGTCTGTACAATTTCCCTTTTCTCCTCTTCTCTTCTCTTTACTACACATTGCCATTGCGTTAAGATAATATTTCCTCGCTACCTTAGCTAGCTAGCATGAGGACAGAGACTCTTTCCGTCGCATCGCAGCACCCTTATACATAAGGTATATCTGACATTATGAATCATCTCTAATCCTCTCTCTTTCTCTCTCTCTCTCTCTCTCTCTCTCTCTCTCTCTCTCTCTCTCTCTCTCTCTCTCTCTCTCTCTCTCTCTCTCTCTCTCTCTCTCTCTCTCTCTCTCTCTCTCTCTCTCTCTCTCTCTCTCTCTCTCTCTCTCTCTCTCTCTCTGGCCTCTAGGTAAAATGTGTTTCTCTCTCTCCTCTCATTAAACGTTCAAAGAAAACATAAAAAAAAACCACAATCGCTCGCTCGCTCGCTCCCTCCCAGAAGCAATTCATCAGAGACACTCACTCTCAACCACCAGACCTTGAAGCCCAAGAGGGAGGATTCAACAAAGACACACCACTCTACGGCGGCGGCGGCGGCTGCTGCTGAGGCGGTCCATTCCTCCGTAGCGAAGCGCGCGCGCGCAAGAAACTCAGCTTATCCATCAGGCTCCGACTCCTCGCATTCGCGGCTTGCAGTTCCATCTCCACCTTGGCGATTTCGTCTTCCTGTCGGCTCTGCTGTGCTGCGTGCACCGTGGCATAGGGCATGTCCTGTTGCTGCTGTTGTTGTTGTTGTTGTTGTTGTTGTTGTTGTTGTTGTTGTTGTTGTAGATACTGGGTAGTTGTGCTCTGTGGAAGCTGTTGGTACAGGTCTGAAGAAGCGGGTGTTTGGTTGAAAAGCTGAGGTTGCTGCGAAGCAGCTTGTTGTCGTGGAAAGTTCGTCGAACTGTTGAGAGCCGACATGTCGTAGTGCGGTGTTGGGTTGGTGTTTGGCCAAGCGGAGGTGAAATCCGCTCCGCGTGTAGTTGATGTGTACTCGGCGTTGATTGGAGCGGGGTCGGGTAGGGCGGCGGCGAGATCAGCAGAAGAGTATGAGTTGTGATGTTCAGACTTGGGAGCGTCCCAGTGGAAGTCGTTGGGGATTACGGGCGTCTGTGTAGGATTCATTGCTGTCTGCTCAGGCAATTGTTGGGACCAGTCAAGCCCGTTGAAGTCCTGAGACTGGTAATGGAGGTCGACATTGTACGGGCCGTTTTGACCCATCAGCGTCGTGTCGTCGTAGGCGATGTTCTGTATCTGTCCTGCCACATTGGGATCAAGGCCCTCCTCGTTGGAGACTGATTGTTGCTGAGCCCCGTTGAAGAAATCTTCGAAATTGACCGAATCGTTGTTCCATGACGCGGGGAACCCTCCAGCAAGGCCTGGTTGCACGTCCTGCTGCGTGTCGAGAGCATTCTTGACTTGCTCCAGCCGCGAAAAGAAGTCTTCATCTTCTTCGTAGGATGTTGCAAGACTATCCTGCAGACGCGATCGTTTCTCCTGGATGCCAACAGCACCCGAGCGCCTGTAACGCTGTCCGATCTTATTAATGTCAATGCTATCGTCAGAGGCTCTTCGCTTTTTGCCCTTGGCCCCAGACTCATCCGTGACGAGGTCTGGATTGTATCTTGCTGTCGCTCGCAGGAACTCGATGTGGGCGCAGACCATCGTATCTAGAAGCTGCCTGCCTTTATTTTCATAGACCTTGTCAGGAGGCAGGATGGCTTTCGAGGCCTTGCCACCGTACTTCCAGATACTCTCCCCAGCGCGAGTCTTGGCGTTTACGTCGGCACCTTTCATGACAAGATACGAGAAGACGACAATGTTTCCAAGCTTGACGGCGAGGTGCAGCGGCGTCTCCCCCTTCCGATTGCCGGCATTGATGTCGGCGCCGCGTTCAATGAGTTCTTCGATATGGTCTGTCGGAACTTGGGTGACAGCGCTGCAGTTATCGAGATAGCTGCAAATGGCATTCTTGGGCACCGCCTTTTGCGACACATACGAGAAGAGGCCAGTAGGCGGAGCGGCGTCGCCAGTGGGAATGGCGAAGCTCGTTCTCGATGACCTTCGCGACCCAGCGTAGAGGCTGCTGGCAAAGCTGCTTGCGAATGACAGCCGCTTAAAAGCTGTGAGGAACCCGGTTGGAAGACCCTCTTTGTCTTCGATTCGTGCAGCGCTCTTCTCGCCTGCCTTGGAGACTTTGCGATCCTGAGCTTTGGATCGAGCTGTTCCACGACTGTCATCGTTGGACTTCATATGGACCTTGTCATCGGGAGCTATATTCTCACTGCCGTCTTCTTCAGTCACAGGGGCGAGGCCGCCATATCCGGGATGCATGCTCGAGCTTGCGTAGCCCGACATGTCCATGGCTGGGAAGAATCCTGGCTCGTCCAAACATGAACTTTCACCGTATGGACTCTCGTCGGTAGGCGTGAAAGAGTTATTCCTGACTGACGAGTGTCTTGACGCTGGCTCGCTGGGCTCAAACTCATTGCTCGGAGACGTGTCGACTCCCCCTTCATCCGTGAGTTCAGACGGTGGTTTCGCATCGATCGAATTCTTCTTGTACGCTTCGAATTTCTTCACGTGCTCGTCAAAGCGTTGCTCACGTCCTTCACGGTTCTTCAGTCGAGCGAGATCGGGCCGGTATCCGAATATATCATGCCAATGGTTGCGGCAAGTGAACTCACTGTTCTTCTTGTCAGCCAGAGTGGAGTCTGGTGCTACTCACGCTGCTTACCAAGGTCCTTGGCCATTTTCATCTTTCATAGCGGTAGCAATGTCATCAAACTTCAGGTCAGTGTGAATGATCCACTTGATCAGCTCTCGCGATTTGCGCGGGGTCCACTCGTACGGCCTTCTACCAGGTGTCTTGGGACCGGGCCCATCGCCGGTATCCTGCGGGGGCGACCAGCTGTAGTTACGAAAGATATCCTCTCCAGGGCCAAGCGTTCTTGCCTGCGACTTTCTCCGCCGAGCTGCTGAGGCACGTTGCTCCGGGCCGACATCCTGACTGGGTGCGTTTGGGGCAAAGCCAGGCTCTTTCGGAAGAAGATTGGAATAGGGCTGGGCAGGCATGGCGGTATCAAGCGGACAACGACTCTTCACATGGCAAGGTGAAGAGCTCCCGCAGCGTTGTCGCAGGCCGAAAAAGACGGCGAGGCCGCGTGAGTGCCTTGGGGATTTACGGATAGGAAGGCAGATTGAGCGGCTGCTGAGCGTCCCAAGCGCACCAGCGACAATAACATGCAAATGAGGGTCTGGGTATGTTGTGTGAGAAGACGAGAAGGCGAGGTAGAAGACGGTCGCAAACAAAGTTGGCGATGGGGCGGGATTAGTGGTCACTGAGCGGTGCACTAGCTTATCTGCATCTGTCCCACGCGTCTGGACAGCCGGAGCTTTTGCATGGGACTTGGCATGCACAATGTAATGTAATGTAATGCAGGTCACTGTGGACGCTCGCCTGGATTCGCTTGGGAGCAACGCTTGTCTTCTGACGAGGCTTTGACAGCCTCAATGATGACTTCCTCTGATCTTCTCCGTGTCGGAAAGAATAATGATGGTGTCAAGTGTCAAGGTGGGTGAGACGGCTGCCGGAGAGGGCCTGGCCGAGTGCGGAACGGGGCGGGGCGTCGCGTAGATCTAACTGTTGCTGCTATTCTCCGGGCCGCAAGCTGCAGTGACCGCCCCCGCACATGTTAGTTAGGTTAGACCGGTGAAAGCGGTGGAGTCCAGGCCGGCCTCCAACTTCTGCCCGACTCTGCTGTGGAAAGCCTTCACACTCGTCCGGAGTGATGTCAATCGACACCATACACTCGCGGGTTCGGCACCGGCACGCTGCCGCAAGGATCAAAGGGCATATCCGCAATAAACATGTGCCGACGGGAGTAGATTCCATCCCCATGTGGAAGTCAGTCATTTCATGCGCATGCACGGTGCATGTACATGTCACGCATTGCGACTGACTTCGAAGCGTAAAGTCGTTTGAGGCGGGCAGTGTCTTTGATTCATCGCTCAACATGCGCCTACGGCGGTTAGGGGATTGCTACGAGTAGCGTGAATGTACACAGTGTTTGGAGCTCCATCCCCATCAGGGCTCGTGGCCGTAGAAGTGCGCACTGCGTAGGGGCACTGGGGCATGTGCTGGGCCGCGTCGTCATTTGCGAGCCTTGTTTCCCACAGCAAGTTGAACGAATCCTTTGAGCTTCCGTCTCAGACTATGATTCGCTCGTATTTGCAAAGTAGCAATCACTTCCTCATTCAAGAGCGACAGCACTCGATTTCTTGCTTGAAGTCGACCGCCTTATTGAAATCGTGAACGATGATGAAATGCTGCTGTTCTGAGCATTCGATGCTTCACCTCGATGCTGGGTTGGCCGATCGACTGTGAGTGGCCATAGCGCTTGTCCACGGGCATAATGCTACTTAAGCCGCCGTGACTTCATCAGTGCGATCTTTTTCGCAAATGCTATCCGGCGTGTCTAGTCGCTTTGACGTTCTCGGCGTCCAATTTGTGCTTGGACAAGGGCGTCGTTCGAGTCCGCATCCAGCGGCAGCTAAAGTGTGGTCGTTGACTTATGCAGGTCCTGCGGCTGTGGCGGCGATCCGTCCTTCGTTATCAAAGGAGCAACGTTATCAAAGGAGCAACGTTATCAAAGGAGCAACAGTGTTGCTCGTCTTGTTCCAATCTGCCCTCTGCAATCATTAGTGAAGCATATCCACATCAGTAGTCGAAGAGCTTTCACCGCGATTCCAGAACTTGCCCTAGGCCAATTTAGACAAGCTGATTGCGTGTCCCCAAGATCTGCAACGCAGAGTCCTTATCTAGGACTTCTGAGGCTCCTTCTGGACCGGCCCTGCAACCCTTTTCTATGGAGAAACCAACCTCTACTCATCAAGCCATCTGTGGTTCTTGGCAAGTGAAGTCCATTGCAAACTAGCCTGTTTGCATTGTCTAGCCCACTGGCGACATGTAGTCCACCTCACTCGCCAAGAGCATGGTTTGCAAACCATTAAAATAGCCGCCATATGGTCTTGAAAGTGAACATATAGCAACGGACAGCGTTGCTAAGCCAAGGATCCGGAGAAACCTGGTCCCTGGTCGCAATGACCGTGACGCGACCATCAGACCACGAGATAGTATCCTGAGACTGGGTTCACCCAGAGCCAAGGACGAAGCTCCAAGACAAGAGTGCCAGTTGCCCAAGATCTTCCAGCCATGCCTTTCATGCTTGATATCAACCCCGAACAGCAGCCTCAACCGGCCCGGAGCACCTACAGCCTCGAACGCTGGGGAAATGCACCTCCAGGTTCGGGTCCGTACAACAATCTCGACGTTCCGCGTGAGCTGGTCCTCGAGAAGAAGCATCAGAAGATGGCCAATGTCCAGACATGGTATAACACTGCAGTGAGTGCTGCATTCCGATTCTAGAGACAAACCAAGTAACAGGTGAGCAGGTTCAAGTGATGGGTCCGGAAGGTTCGTGATCCGAGTTGAACGATCTCTTTCTTGTCTCAGCCGGGTCCAGTGATCAGATGATGGAGCAGAGACCTGATGGAGCAGAGACCTGAAGGAGACGAGTGTTCACAGCCGATGAGAACAGAATTATGCCTGATTGCGAAGATCGTATCCGGGCGGCTGGTCGTCGACAGATCCATCAGTCGAAAGCCCGAAAGACATGTATAGCATCTGACTCGGCATGCTCGAGGTGATTGGAATTCCAACCATAGCTGAGACATGCGATACTGTGATGGCAAAGTGTTGGATGTAGTTCGCTAGGTAGTTCGTAAATCGCGTCGTGTGAAAAGAGGAAGCTGTCTGCCAAGGCTCGCTTTCGGTTTCTTCCCATCAAATATCAATCCAAGGCTCATCAAATCAATGAAGCAACCTGCAAGGTTCCAACCCTCTAACCGCATATCTTCTCTTCCCTATCCCTTTTCTTTCTTTCACCATACTGCACCCTCATCGTCATGCATCATTCTGATGAGCCTCACAATAATCGACGGGGCTGCTTCATCAAATCGATAGCGTCGCATCGCTTCACTCGTCAATCCGCTCCGCTCCATCATGTTAGAAGAGATTGCTCGACGCCTTGTCTGCCTCCGGAGTATGCACGGCCATGCCTCCGCTCACACGGCCTGCGAATGAAAGCCTCTCACAGCAGATGTGCTTCTTGCCAGCGCTTGGAAAGGCCAGTTGCAGGACAATCTTAAGCGATTTGCGTGCCAAGAGGAGCCTGGTCTATGCGGAAAGCGGGAGACTTCGCGTGAATGGACCACTCGTTCCCAAGCAAGCGCTGTGCATGCCTACTACGCGTGGGAGATGTCCGGGGGAAAGCACGTATCAGTAGCCATGGCAAGCCTCAGCGCACGCGTGATATCGCGTAGCGTTCCGAGGACCCTAGCCGCATGCTCCCCTTCCTTTCTCTCCGTAGAACCACACGGTCCTCCGCAAAAAGCACAGCTTGGCAGCAGGATTAATAGGCGCAGGAGTGTCAAGACGTCGAGCTTTCCTTCCAGCTCGTCGACTTCCATCTCGAACTCCTCGCGCTTCTCCGTGATGTTGATGATGAAGTCGGGATCGAAGTCGAGGTTGACGAAGCCCCTGACGCTGGCATTGCTACCGATGTAGTGGCGTTTGAGCATCGGACAATACTCGTTTGCAGCGCAGCTTATTGGTCGCGCACGTCTTGCCAAAGGTACCATCACAATCATAGCACTTGAGCAAAGACTTGCCTTGCCTCAAGCGGGATTACGCGGCAAATCTCCGGCTTATATTTGGCATGTGATTGCCAAGCCGTTCAGCCCTCCATCTTTAATACAACAGAGACGCACTAACAGACACACAATTAGAGAAATTACAGGAAATAAAGAGCCCGTTGGTGACAACTCCAAGTGTCGCTAAAGCTTCCTCCATGATTCTAACTTTCAGGAGAGGTTCAGGGTTGGGACTTGTCTCGCAGACTGTACAGCTTGACTGTATTGTGAGCCACCGGCTCGCTGGCCGTTCGAGCGCTCCCAATCCTGCCCACGATCAATTTGAGAATTGGCAACACAAATCCACAACTAGGTCCGCATAACCGCCACAATGCGGCGCATCGTTCAGTCTAAACATTCACTGAAGCAACCTTCTCAAGGTAGACTGCGATTGCATCAACTGCTTTTGAATGTACTAAAACGTTGGCTCTATTCACAATCAACCCAGAGACTTGTCTCCCCTTATTGCCTCTCTCAGCCTTTCCATGCAAATGCAAAAAACGCTCAATTGTTACACATACAATACAAAGCAAGGCGCTCTTTTCGAGAAGACCTTTCTTTTATGCAACAAGCACACTCATCCCTCCATCGCCGCTCTTCAGAGCAGGCGATTCCGTAACAACAGGCGTAGGTGCTTCACCAGCTTGATCCGTGGTCTTTGTGATAGTAGCGACAACTTCCTGCTGCACCGTCTGCGTGACTTCAATCGTCTGCACGTTGTCATGATGAGCTGCCGAATTCTCCTGGGCGGGCGGCGAAGTAGAAGCGCCAGCTTTTCTTCTCTCCCATCCGGTCTTGAAGAGCTTGCCCATCTGGAACCGAGGGAAAGGATGTGCTTCCGTGTTGAACACTACATCGTTTAGCGGAAGTATATCGTCGTTGGAGAAGAGAAGGAAGAAATATTTCAGTGTTTCGGCCTGCAGCAGACGCCATATTAGCCATTACTTTCAAGAGCTGATAATCGGAAGTTGTTACTCACCAGCCAAAAGCTCTCCATATTATCCCTCATAGCAGGCGGTGTTTGCATAACGTTAGAGATACTGCTGAAACCTTCTCCATCGTCAACAGCAGTCCATTTGACGAAAGCTTGAAACATCTCCCATCCCCAACGCCGATACTGATCATCACCAGTAATCCGCCACATGTAGAACAGGCTCTCGACTGTCTCCGGGCGTTGAAGATTATGCATATCAGCAGCCTTGAAGACGAAATCATCCTTGGTCGTCTCAATCACATCTGAACAGAGTGCGTTGGTGCACTTTCGAAGGTTCACTGGGCTTTGCGGCCTGTCCTTGGGCCCGAAGTCATTGTACATCTTCGGTGGCTCATGTATGTTGAAGTGCGCAATCTCGGGCGCAAGGCCAGTCTCGGTGCGGTACATGCCCATGCATGTCTTGGTCAATTCGCGAGCAATTTCCATATCCTCCTCCTGCTGAGGACCCCAATTCGGTTGCTTCTTGGCCTGAGCGAGTGGAAGGCCTCCAGTAGCGGCAAGGGCTATCGTGCCTGGCATGAAGCACACCAGATGATCCATCTTCGCGCTGAGATCCCTGTTCAGTCCATTCGGCCTCTCAGCAAGCACCAAGAAGTTGTTAGGTTCCGTATAAGTCAGGAGGTGCTTTTTGATACCGGCCATGCTTTCGTTCCACATCTCCTGATAGACTGGCTCCTGATTCGAGGTTTGATGGTATTGCTTGATAAGGTATTCGTAGTAGCTGTCCCCTCTGCTACCCAAGCGGATGTTTTCGCCACGGAAAGTACCCTTGTCCGCGTAGATGAAAATAGGGACGAGACCATCAACGACATGGTTATCGTCGACAGCCTTCATCACTTGCTCGGCCTTCTCCCAGTAATGCGTCTCGCCCGTCAGTTTGGCCAGATATTTCATCTCCAACTGCAGGCTAGTCGCTTCGGCAGTTGATGAAGCTCCTCCATCCGTATGGGATGGAATTCCTTGCATCGTGTGGAGATTGACACTCGCGAGTGGAATTCCAGACGCAGTCTCATATGCACCCAGTAGCCTGTCTGCGAGATCTGTCGCCTTCTCCACGTACATGTCATCGCTTAGACCATCGTTTACAGGCGCATACTTCCCAGGAAAAGCCGTACTCAGGTAATGCGCTGATAGAAGCCCACCAAGCATCCGTATCGTTGTTTCGAACGTATTCACATCGTGGTCCTGGTCGTAGGTGAGATTGCTGTGTACCCACTGTCTTGCGTGCGAGAGCTCCGTCGTCAGATTCATGAGCATCATCGTGTCCAACGCATCGACAATAATCCAGCCCATGCCCTTCGGTACCATGTGCTTTCCAGTGTGAGTTACGGGATGGTATTCATCATATCCTATGCCCAGACAATTAGCATCTCCCCCTCGTTCAACCCTCCAAAGGAAGCGCATACATGGCACGTACCCCAACCATACTTCTCATAACCCGAGAAAGAAATCTTAAACGCATCCCGCACCATATCCGCTCGATCCTCCCAATCGATATTCGGTCTCTCAGGGAGTAGTCCCCACCCTCTGGGTGTCTTCTTCGGACTTCGCAGTATACTGCCACTCTTCCCTGTGCCCGCGAGCCAAGTCAACGGACTCAATATTCCGAACCACCAACAGACTACCCCTAGAAGCATCAACCCAGGAACCAAGGCCTTTCTCTTCCTCGCCCAGGGCGGTAACCTCGCCGCAAGCCCTCCCTTGCCGGGGGGATAATGATACGGCTTATCCTTATACATCGGTAACGAATCTTTTCTCCCACCGCCTGAGAACATACTGCTCATCTTCTCGGAAATACCATGTGCAGGCTCTGGATCATTGTGGTGGAATCGTGAACGGCCGGACGATTGCCATAAGTCCGGAGTATCGCCGCCGCCGTTCGGCAGACCGTATGTGCTCATAGTGGAGGAATTGGAAATGGCTGCATTCGGTATTCTGTCGTTGGGATGGGAAAATGTTTCGGCTCTCTGCGCGCTGGTACGCAGGAGGCTGGCGACGGGCGAGACGGAGGTGCGGCGGATGTTGAATGGATCGTTGTTCATTCCAGCATTCACGATGGCAGTGGCATTAGCCTGGTGTCGAGAAAACGGACAGGGAGAAGTGAAGTGAAATGTTGAATGTTTCTTGGAGCGTCCAGCTGTCCCTTCAATTCACTTGCATCCCTGATTCGTGAGCTCGGTCAGGGTTCCCCAGACGCGCCGCGCGCGCTAGCGTGGGATCATAGCTTCAGTACCTTGCATGTGCGTTCAACTTCAGCCAACGACATCACTGAGAGGACAACTTGCGTCTCTTCATTCTCACATCAATTTGATCTGTCTCGAGCGCACTCACAACTCTATAATTACCTAACTCAAAATGCCGACCCCTCTCGACCGAGCTCTCAACTCCAAAGTAAGTAGTCGCCACCATCTTCAATAAGTTGGCACTGGACACATATCTGACATATCCCACAGAACCTTTTCCTAGGATTCACGGCTCTTGTAACAGCCGCAACAGCCTGGTCAATTTGGGGCGGAGACATGTTCCCTAAACCAGAGGACCCTAAAGGCGAGCCCGAGAACTGGACCGAAGAAGAGATGAAAAGATGGCTGAACGCCGTACGCATAAGCCCACCTATATCTACATCCTCATATGATGAACATGCTAACATGTGAGAATGCAGAGAAATCTCATGGCAGGCGCCACAGCCACCCGTGAAGAACTGCTTGCGCGGGTGAAAGCGAATTTGAGGGCGCCAAGAGTCTGAGGCGTCTACCGCGCGGATTAAGCAGATGATGGTTTGCTACCAGATTGAAATTGGGAAACAAGTGTGATACCCTGTGGTTCTATGGAAACGATCGTAATTGAGTGGGATTTTATGCTAAGGTTACTTTGAGTCGCAATTATCATGGCCATCGTCGTCTTTGTTACCTTTGAGTCCTCCCATGTCTCTCCGCTCACCAAATCGCAAGCACCGGAGACCATCGAAGCGACCGCAAGGCTTGAATCTCGAATTTCCTATTCCACCTCGCTCTCCTCGTCCTCGTCGCTGTCTACAGCCTCTTCAGCCTCACGAGCGCGCTGTAGCTCGAGCAGCTCCTGCTCTGCCTGCAAAGCTGCCTCTTCCATAGCCTCCACTTCAAGAATGTCCTTCTCCATCTGCTCTAGCTTAGCTCTCTTCCGCTCTTCACGCTCAGCCTTGGCTCTCTGACGTGCTGCTTGTTCCTCCACAATCTTCTTCTTGCTCTCTTCAAGTTTTCTCGCCGCTTCCGCCTTTCTCAAATCCATCTCGCGCTTGATCGAAGACTTCGAGCGCTTGGATGGCGTTTCGACTCCAGAGAGACTGGCATCGCGCTTGCGGGACGACGAGGGTGAGATAGGCGACATTGGGAGTGCTGAAGCGGATATCTGAGGGGTGAAAGCGGTCGTGTTGTCGCCTTTAGCTTCAACCTTGGGAACGCGGCTATCAGCTGTCGGCTTGTAGTCGTCGTCGGCTTCGAATCTCGGCGGACTCCTCTCCTCCTCTGCCGTGAACTTCCAGTTACCATCGGACTCGAACCTTAGAACCTCGTTCTCCGTCTTCGGCTCTGGCTCTGGCTCTGGCTCTGGCTCCAAGTCCATAGGCGCAGCTGTCCCCACGCTAACAGATGGCGTCCTGTCGCGTGGAAACCCCCACGAACTCGGAATGTAGTCTTTTGGCAGGTCAAGCGTACCACCTAGATGCTTCATCTTCGAAAGTGGGCTCGAATGCATGGTTGGTGGCGCTGTAAAACGTAGACCGCCGTTGGAATTCATATTGTCAGTGCTCACACGTTCACGTGCCAGTTCCGATGACGAATTGTCAGTCTCGCTTTTCAGGTATTCGTGCAGTGAACCGCCAAGACGCTTCTTCGCCTTGGTCGCACTCGATGGGCTTGGAGACGATTCGGAGGCGTTCGAAAAGCCATTAGTAGCACTGCCCTCTGAATCACCGTCTCCAGCTTTCGGGTCTTTCAGGCGTCCACCCGCAGTGGTCTCAGCAGCAGCGACGAAAGTGTTGGGCTCCGCGTCCTCCAGATCCTGGACCATATCAGGTCGTTCCGAACATCCAGCAGCTTCGATGTGCTCACGTAGGCGATAATAGAATACGTACTTCGCCCACGCCACATTTCCCGGCTTCGCCTGGTCGAAATGGTCACGGTGCTTCTTGCTGCGTTTTGCACTAATCGTGTTCTCGTCCAATTGCCTAAACTCCATCTCGAGGTCCGGCTGTATGCCACTCTTGCGCACAAGCTTACTGTCGCGATTCCTCCAACTTCCAACAGTCATGTCGAAGTATGATTCGTGGTCGTAGATTTCTGTATGGGACTGATTGATGTTCACCACGACCACGATACTTCCCAGTCCAGGCTTCTTGCCTCCTCGAATAGCAGTTTCGTGATTGCCTAGTTTCTCGACGTCCTCGGAGTCGAGTTGCTTTGTATGCAGATGTCCGTCGTAGAGCTCTTTGGGGAACTCTCTGCTCCTCCAGCCTGGTGGGATCGGCAGATTGATAACCTTGTTGAAAGCGACCTTGCGCTCTTTGACGAATTTGAGCTCGTACTCCTGACTGATGACATCGCGCTTGGCCTCCATGACACTGGCCTCAACGAAAGCGCCGTCCACCGCCAGATCAAAACGGCCGTGAACCGCAGAGCCCGAGAACTTGCCTTTGATCGTGATCCTGTCACCCGGCTTCACCGCGATGAAGCATTCCACGATGTTCATGTTGAGCCTGTCTCGTTCGGCGGAGAGGACGAACTCCGTACACTCCTCACCATTCGCAAAAGCCGTGAACTCTGCGCTTTGGTCCGTGTTAGGTTTACGTGCCTTCATCTTGTCGACGAGTGCGATGTCGCAGTGTCGGAGTAGCGAGCGTGGCTTTTGTAGTCGTTGCCAGAGAAGACGACGTGCGGCGTGATAGGAAGTGCAACTCGAGTATGAGCGCATGTGATGATCGCCTGTCGTTGCGGTGGATTGGAGTGTTAAGCGCATAAACACCGTCGCAGTCGCCGAGAAGTTGCAGCGCGGGTAGAGCCGCTAAAATCCAAAGTGAAGAGGATGTGACGAGAATTGATGCTGTGCAAGCTACGCGATGGGACACGATCCTGATGTTGCCTTGAGCACACCGTGAACCTTGCGGAACATTCTCTTCCAGAGAAGCTTTCTGACCAAATTCGCACAGCCAACTCTTCACTTGCTCTTCGAGCAGCTTCCTTTGTTCACTCTTTATTTCCATCTGCTCAGAAGGCGAACATGACTTCGCAAATATTTCAGTGGTCCTTTTGAAGGTTCTGGATCTTGTTGGTACTTTCTGCCTCTGAGCCTCTCCGCAAAGCTACTTCACTGCCGTGCAGTTGTCCTCTTGATCTCCTTTTCCCTCAACCCTCGCAGCAGCAATACCTGATGCCAGCAGCTTTCGCAACCCCTGATTGGAAGAACTCATGGCATTCGCAGCTCCTGGATCGCGAGATGAGCAGCATAGCTCTCGGGGTCGGGGGAAATGCTTTTCTTCGTTGACCTTCCAGTTCCCTTTGCGCTCGAATTCTACACCAGAGCAGTCGTCGAATTCTTGAAGTTACCTCCACGTCCTATGGCACCTCCATCCTCAAACCACAAACCGAAAAGTCTGCGACTGAATAACCCACTGCCTCCCCTCCCCCAGAACCTTCCCCTTATCACCCGTCTTGCCCGGCACCAGAATCATCTGGTCCGCAAACCCTCTCATAGGACCCTCCTTCCTCTCCACCAGCCTCACATACCCACTAGCCTGCACCACAACACTGACATTTCGCTCCGCTTCCTTCCTCGTTCCCGTAGCGTCCGGATCCACACACGGATTCAAAATCTGTGCGTTCAGGCATTGCACTTCGAAGTAGGTGTATGGCATTTTGTCGAACTCGGTCTGGAAGTCATTTCCGGTTGCGAGGACTTCGCCGTTGTAGTTTATGTAGGGCGTGGTGTTTGTTTCTGTAGAGGGAGGGCTGTAGAAGGATGAAATGGTGTGTCGGGAGGCGCAGAGGGCGTTGTAGTAGGCTTCTGTGAAGGATTCGGCTGTTTCGGAGGCGATGCGGGTTTTGTCGACGTCGGTGAGTGTGACGGGCATCGTTTCGAGAATTGATTGCGGATATGCACGATGCACGATGCAAGGAGCGAAGACGCTGTGGACGTGAGGTCGGATGATTTACCCTGCATTGAAGCAGCTCCATCAATCTGTCGCTAAATGTTGACTAGCAAAATCTTGGCTGCGGAATTTCGTCCGCAGTGAACCCACCGCCTGCGATTTTCGTCCAGAGCACCATCAACCAGCGAACAATTCACCAGCACGACCAGAATCGTCCTCGCCCCGAATCGCCCACCATGCCTCGCGAAGTCTCCGACATCAAGCAGTTCATCGAGATCTGCCGCCGCAAGGATGCCTCCTGTACGTACCGGACCCGAGAACGAAAGCACCACACCAGAACAGAACTGACAGCATGACCAGCCGCGCGCATAAAGAAGAACGCAGCAACCAACCAGACCAAGTTCAAGGTCCGCTGCCACCGCTACCTGTACACCCTCGTCCTCAAGGACTCCGACAAGGCCGACAAGCTCCGCCAGTCCCTCCCACCAGGTACCACTTTCCAATCACATCACCGTCACCACCCCTTCCAAACGACTCACTAACTCCTACTCTCCAGGCCTCTCCATCACCACCGCCCCCAAGAAGAACGCCAAGGGCAAGCGCGTCGCCAAGGCCTAGAAACACAACACCCGCACGAAAAGAAGAGATGAAATACGGCGTTATTCGGACACACCTTCGGCATGATGGATAGGGTATCATGGTGCGACTCCAGCTGGCAATGCCGCTGGTGGAGATTAAGTAGCTAGTCATTGCGAAATATCTCGTCCGGCGCGCCCGACTTCAGTCTACCCTTTTCAATCATGTGCTGTTGTGCCGTTCGAATTCCCCAAGGCCCATCGCACGTCTGCAAAGCACCAGCAGCATGGCCAGACTCGACCGACCTTGCCGTGTCTATGGAGTAGAAAGGAGCCGGGCGTCATTTCCAGTATTGCTACGTCTATGACATACGATTTGCCCGTGAGGTAGGTTCCAGTGAAGCTATCCACCAGGTTCTGCACTCCGGACTTGCAGAATCTGGAGTATCTCAAACCAAGAGCTATCGAAGTCCTCCGGTTCTATGGCTTCTTGACTCAGCTCTTCCAGAGATAGGCAAGAGACTTTGACGTGGGCCGTGTCCGCTCAAGCAAGGAGAAAACTTCGACTCAGAGAGCATGCCGCATGTTACATTTCGATCTCACTGGAACACATGTGGGAAATTTTTTGAAGGATCCATAATATTGTCAAACGCTTCAACGTATTCCATGCGAGTATCATACGAGCTTCACATCCTTCATCCGCTTACGAAGGTGTGTGAGAGAGCTACTCCTTAAGCTCTCAAAACGCAGAAAGTCTATCTTCCAGCCCGTTCCAGCTCTACCATGCTCATCGCACAGCCTCGAGCCTAAGGCAGCGCACGCGATCATTATCCTCATACCATGCCATACGCGTTCCTTCGTCCGTGCTATCGCTATGCCACATCCGGGGTTAGCCGGCTCTCTCCCTATCCATGCCTAATCCTCAATAAACTCCACCATCACAGTGCCCATCTTCAGCCCTGCCTCCTCGACCGTAGCATCCAGCATCTCGATCAAATTCTTACCCATGGAGATGAGCTCAAACGAAGCTCCCTCCTTGTCCTCAAATGGCGCAGCCTTCAGCCACTCGTAGATCCGACGCACAGGGTCCGTGAGAAGGAAGCGACGGACGACACGGCCGCCAGAATATCGGAACTGGATGCGTGTCGTCTCGGTTGGTGCAGTCGAAGCTGGTTCCTCGTGTGGGTTGGTTGCGGAGATGCGAGAGAATGGCGTATCCTTTGGTGCGCTGCCGTTCGCGGCTGTCTCGTCAACGTCCATGGCGGACTCCGCTCCAACAGGTGCCTTGCCCTTGCCACCAAGGTTCTCGATCGATTTGGTGAGAGCGTCTGGGTCTTGGTCCTTCAAACCAGCGGAGGAGCCATTGGCAAGGCTGTTCTGCATCGCCATCTCCAGCATTTCCTCCTCACTCATCTGCGCAACGTCCTTCTTAGACTCTTTGCGCTGTTTCTGAACTGGGTTCTTCTTCTCCATCTTCAGGCTATAGCGGTCCAGAAACTCGTGTAGATCCATCAGGAAGTCGGCCGGCTTTGGTGCAGGCGAACCAGACCAGACCTTTACCTGTTCTCCTGTTCGTGGGTCGACGATGGCGATGTGAGGGTACGCATCATCCAAGTCACGCACAGCACCCATGTAGTAATTGACGTACTCCTGACCTCGCGCATCATTCTTCTGGAACTGCATGAAGATGAAATGCTCCTTGATGGTATCACGGATGGATTCGTTCTTCCATATGTCGCGGTTCAGGACTTGGCAGTCGAAGATGGAAGGGTCCTGCACGTTGACCAGGATCCACTTCTCGTCCTCCTTGCCCAAGTCTCGTGCTGCATCCCATGGCATGTTGTTGATGAGCTCGTATGGCGGGCGGAACAGGTCAGCAAGGTGGTTAGCCTTGGCCGACTGGTCTGAAGCGCCGCCTGTAGCTCGCGAGAGCGCCTGCCTATGCGCCTCTGGGTTGTTAGGATCTTCATCATTCCAGATCGATCGCTCGTCACGCTGGTTGAAGATTCCAGGGTGTGCTCCACGGCCACCACGATGCTGGCGGTTGAACATCTGCTCTGCTATCGCAGCGTGCATCTGACCTGGATCCGAGCGCCAGTCTGAGCTGCCAGGTCCGACCAGTGTCTCCGTAGTCCTAGCCATGGGTGGACGCACGCCATCCTCGTCGTATGCTCCCGGCACTCTACTGCCGCCAGCGCCACCGTACATCTCTTCCTGTAACTGCCGAGCCATGGCCTCGTCGTCCTCCATTGTTGCGCTGCTCTGCTGGACCGGTCTGCTCCCCGTCTCTTCCACATCATCGTCGTCAAAGTCCGCGATCTCGTCATCATCATCATCGATAGTGATGGGCGCGCCGCGGTTTGAGGGCGCTGGGGGAGGTTGTGCTGCTGGTGCGGCGCCCGAAGCACCGAGATCTGGATTGCTGAAGAAGAGCTCTACCGCTTGCTCGACATTGCCGTCTGTGAGTTGGAGAAAGCGCTGGGCCTGCTCGGTAGTGCCCGAGGTGAAGGCCATGAAGGTTGAGACTTGCTCGTCCATCTTGACTGCTGCGAGCCCGCCGGCTCAAGGACTCGAGGGTTTCTCTGCCTGCTCCGCTCGCTGCTCGCTGCTTCTGCGTGGATGGAAGATTGCTTTTGATTTACCTTTCTTGTGTGCGACACTCGCTGATCAGAGCGTGCGAGTCGCAAGTGCTCGAGTGTGGTGTTTGTGTAGTTGTGGTTGAGCTCTCGAGGGTGAAGCTTGACGCGGATTTAAGTCGGGTGACTGGAAGCTTCTGCGAGGTGGATGTGGAGGGAGAAAAGGTTCGCAGAAGAGTTGGAGTGTGCTCTGGGGAAGGAGCTGATGTAGTGGTCGGCAGATGAAAGTGACTGTTGTTGGGTTGTTGGGTTGTTGGGGGCGTAACGGGTGAAGAGTGATTGTTTGTCTGAGTTGCGATGTTCACGAGGCAAAGTGACCTGCAGTTGCCTCTTGCGTCAGCAGTCCGTGCCTGGCTCCGTCAACTCGGACCCCGCAAGCCCTCGTCCATCATTCACTTTCTGCAGTGAGATAGAACAAAGCCTTCAAGTTGTCATGCGGGTCCACGTCGCACAGAAAAGTTTTCAATATGATGGAAATGCAAACCGAACGAGTCGCGCAAAGCCGTTCATTCCTGCTAAATTGAGTATCTCAAAACCGTCGAATCTATGCACAATGCCAAACACTACTCCCAGAAATGCAAGGTATCGACAAAGGAGCATCCCTCTACACTTCGCTTCCCAATCTAGCAGTCCAGCAGTCCAATGCCCTCACATAACCATATCGTCATCCATGCTCATTGGCTCATGAATGCCCGAAAACCTCGCTCGTGCAATTTGCTCGTTCATCCTCTCCCAGTCTGCATGGTTCCTGATCTGCTCATACATGCCGTACTGATCCTCCATACCGCTCTGCTGCTCCGTTGCTTCCGAGTAGCTCGGCGCCTGCCAGAGTCCAGTGTTGTAGACTGGGTCCACGGCACGTCTGGAAGCAGCCATCTCGTAGCCATTCACAATGTACGGCTCGACCTCTGCCTGCTGCTTTGTGGGTGCTTGACCAGCAGCGATCGATGCAGCTCGCATACGTGCAGCTGGAGGCCAATACGTCTCGCCCGACTGATCGATCGGACTGATCGGCTCCATTGCTACCGTGTCAGACATGTGTTCCTCCTGTGGTACTGCTCGAGTGTTCATTTGTTGCTCATACCGCTCTCGGGCCTGCTGCTCCTCCTTCTCGACGCTCGTTCGCTGCCACTGTCCGGTGATGTGCTGCTCAAGAGGGTAAGACGGTGGTGAGATGCGCCAAAGCTCGAGAAGGCGGAGTCTCTGCTCGTAGTCAGCGTTGACGAAGAGGTTAACTTGGTTGGGTAGGAGGGCGTAGGGGTCAATGGAGTGCTGTCGCAGGGTCTCGGCCATCGCTTCTGGCATCACAGCCTCATAATATGGCGGCGGGGGGCTCCGCGATGGCTCCGACTCTGCTCGCACGTGTGCAGATTGGGTGTAGTGTGCAGAAGCAAATGCAATCGGCTGCTCCTTCTCGGGCGTTTGCAGCACTTGCTCGATCATGGGAGGCTGCTGCTGGACAAGTGGGGCTTGTTGGTGGAGCTGCATATTTTGAGCGAAGAGCTGTGCAAGCTCATCGTGTTGGGTTGAGTTCATGGTCCCTTTGCTATCGCTAGCAATGTCTGCACCGCGAGCACAGATTCCGCACTGCACATGGAGAAGTTAGTTGGGCAAGGGTAAGGAAAACGGTCTCGATGACAAGACCGCGGCTTACGTGGTTGCACAAATGCTCTTTCGTCCACACGTTCCCCGAATACTCAATAGGAGTACCGCGATTGCACCCTTCGCAATTATGAACCAATACAGGCCAGCCGAACATAGAGTCAGATGTTCCAGTGCCAAGGTTCCAATCCGGCGGGTCCAGAAGGATTCCGAGCGGTGGCCAGTAGTCCCTTCCTTTGGTCCTGGAATAGCGGAGACGAGGTCAAAGGAAAGAAGCAAAGGCAGGTCAAATCTTGTCTGGCAGCTCTTCTCCCACTCCAGCAGTCAAGTCTCGTCGATACAACCTCTTCTGGCTTCTCAGACAAGAAGTGAGCAGCAGAGCGGAGTCAGGCGTGTACCGTGACACACAAAAGCAAGCTGGGTGATGAGATCAGGCGGTTCTCGTTCTCGTTCTGCTTCTTCTTCTTTCTTCTTCTTTCTTCGGGGAGGCGCAATGGCTTGCAGCGATGCTTTCAATTGAGGTGTATGAAAGGGCTATCGAGTGTCCTATCTACGGTGGTACGCAAGAAGGAGAGATGGCAGAGGGTGAGTGATGGAAGGGAGGGAGGAGGAGAAGTGTAGCGGTATGAGTGGTGTAATGTGCAGTGGGCTGGGCAGATGACGCCGACAGGCCAGTCCTGAAACGTGTCTAGCCGGGCCAATCGTTCTGCCGCTAGCAATCTAATTCGCTGCCTGCCGCTGTCGGTGTTGGGCACAAAGCCGGCTTCACTCAGATTGCCGCTGAGTTGGCAGAGACGATGCGATGATGAGGCTGACCCTTGGTCCTGTGAAGCGTGTCGAGCGCATTGAAAGGTCTAGGTATCAGGAAAATTTGTCTGGTCGAATTTGGAATAAAGGCGTGAAGGGCTTTCAAAGAGTTTGGAGGAGAAAGCTTGACATCGAGATGCACGTCCACGGGTGTGCACGGCTGCGGCGGGCTGTAGCGAGATCTGCACGAGATTACTGATGCCTCAGGTTGGAACGCCGCTAGCTGAACAGCAGCTGGAGCTCTCCGCGAGAGGCAACTGCGGATGCGCGTCAACTGATCCTCGTTTACTCACTCGCAACAACATCACCCATCTTCGCCCTTCAAACACGATACCATCCAGAATACCTCACTGTCCATCTAACTCTCGACACCGGACACTTTGATAGACAGGCCATCAGCACATCCTGACCCACCACACTCCCTCCTAACTCGCAGCCATGGTCAGTGAAACAGAGCTCATACCATCACGTGCCAAACTCTTCCAACTGATGCATTCCTTCTAGACGTCGATAGGGACGGGCTACGATCTCAACAACTCTGTCTTCTCTCCCGATGGTCGCAACTTCCAGGTCGAGTACGCAGTGAAGGCAGTTGAGAATGGAGGCACCGCCATTGGAATCCGGTGCAAGGACGGCGTGGTGCTGGCCCTGGAGAAGCTGGTATCAAGCAAGCTGCTCAAGAAAGATGCCAACAAGCGGATAGCCACTGTAGATCGGAATATCGGTGTGGTGAGTTGATGAGAAGATGGACTTCGAGGCCGAAGGAAAGACTGACACAAGAGGAACGCCAGGTTCACTCTGGTCTCTTACCCGATGGCAGACACTTCGTATCTCGAGCGCGCGACGAAGCATCCAGCTGGCGCAGCACCTACAAAGCACCCATTCCAGTCTCCTCCATCGCCAATCGCATGGGCGCCTACGTCCAAGCACACACCCTCTACTCATCAGTACGACCTTTCGGCATTACCGCAATTGTCGGAGGGTGGGACGCAGAGACCGACGTGGACGTGGATGGAGTCGTAGGCAGCGGACCCAAGGTCGGCGCAGGAGGGAAGACACAAGGCGTGAAGGAAGGCGGACCCTACCTTTACATGATCGAGCCTTCAGGGCTCTACTGGGGCTACTACGGTGCAGCAACAGGCAAGGGCAGACAAGCAGCTAAGGCGGAGCTGGAGAAGCTGAAGCTGGACCCGAAAGACGGAGAATGCATCAGTTTGGAAGAGGGTGTCAAGGAGGCGGCGCGCATTATCTACGTCGCGCACGAGGACAGCAAGGACAAGGACTTTGAGCTGGAGATGACATGGGTCAGCGCCGTCAATGGTCCGACCAAGGGCAGACATGAGGAGGTGCCCAAAGCGCTCAAGGACGAAGCCGAGCGACTCGCCAAGGCTGCGTTGGAGGGCGAAGACGAGGAGGAAGAGGGTAAGATGGAGGAGTAGACGACATCGTGACACTGTAACAATAGGAATGCTGCATAGAAAGAGTGATCCCATGCTGCGGCTGAGATCAAGACCTGGACCGGTGGAAGGTGCGTACAGGGCGAAAAGGCCGATCTCTAGTCCACGTTGACCGGATCTCGGCGTTGAGAATACAGATCCAGTTCATGACCTTCTAGTCTCCATCTCCATGCTCACATTGCCTCCTGACCAACGCCATCTGGCAATCCCATCACAGCCGGGATCGCTTCAAAGCAAGCGAGAAGAGGAGAAGAGCATCACAAGACACGCCAACTCCATCCATCCTTTCAAAGCTCGAAGCACACAGCAGCTTACACCTTTCCGCCATGTGTGATGTGTGAGTGGAGCCGACCAAAACCTAAGACATGGAAGTACACAGCCCTAATAAGGAGCTAAATAAGTAAGGTAGCAATGTACTGTATCTGACACGCATGTATCTAGGTGCCAAGCTTTGTTTTGTTTGCCTCACAGCCTACCTTATGGGACTTTTCTCTCTGTACGTACTCCGTACTTCGTCGGCTTCTTCGTTGGGGGTATGCTGACTGCAGCTGGGTTTTCCAAGAGCCGGTGTGTGGCGCTGCCATGCGATGCCACGAGGGACGTGTCCCATCGCGCGAGTGTAGTTAACATTGCTACGTAATTGATCACGCGAAGCAAGAAAGAAGCTGCTGCCAATTCTTCTTTGGCTGTCGTTTAGTTTATCTAGTTGGCGTCGAGGAGGCAAAAAAGATTGTGGTGTGCTTGCTCTTGATGTATGGCGTTTGGCACAAGGACACACACATACGACAGAGAAGCATGAACATTTATTTCCACTTGTATGGTGGAGGAGAAGAAAGAAACGGCTGCCAATTCCTCTTTGGCTGTCGTTTAGTTGACCTCGAGGCAAAAAGAGATTGTGGTGTGCTTGCTCTTGATGTATGGCGCTGGCACAAGGACACAGACAGACAACAGAGAAGCATGACCCTTTCAATTTCACTTGTATCATATGGTGGAGGGCGGGAAAGAAGACTCTCGTCGTCTAGATTTGTGGAATCCTTTCGGATTTTCAGTTTTTTTTGGTGGTGGCAATCTGAGTATTCTCCCTATGATATCTATTGCGCAAGCAAGATACTTTCACCGCTCGAAGTCGGACTATGTATAGGGATAGCTGCCTGCACAGTATGCAGCATATCTCTGGCGTTTCTGACGCCCGAGTATTGTATGTTGCGAAAACGACCCTAGCTACCTACGTAGCCACATCATTTGAGAGGGAAAAGAAACCTTCTTCGAAGAACAGAAAGAGAGAAAGAAGAGACGCAAGTTTACGAAGAAAGACAGTATCCCTCTCAAAAATTGATGCTTCATCCATTTCATATCAATACAGGTCTAGCTAGCTAGAATATACTCATAAACCGCTTAAAAGTCCTTTATCCCCCAGAAAAAAAAATCCCGCTATACACACACACATATCATATCCACGTAAATACCCCAAACATCACAACCCACAAATCCCACCACCACTCAAACTCGCCGTCGGGTATAAAATAAGCGGCGCACCCCTAGAAATCTCAACCCCCAAATTGCCCCTCGAATCCGCCGTGTACAGCGTACAAGTCAAGACTTCGGTGACTTCCTGTCCGGCCGTGAACCCGCTATTCGTAGCCCCGAGGGTGATGCGCCGCGAAGCGCCGTTTTGTCCGTTGTTGGTGTACACGCTGACAATCTGCTTGCCGGCGTTACCTTTGCGCATGGCGATGGTTTGGGAATCGGAATAGATGGGCCAGGCGTTGTAGGTGAGGTAGGTAGAGTCCTGCTGGATGGCGCGAGCGCGGATGGCGTTGACGGCGCGGATGTGCAGATAGAGAGGGGAGGCTTGGTTGTAGTAGGATTTCCAGAGCTGTTCGCGGTTCGCCGGGGTGCTGGCGCCGTTGAACTGCTGCTCCTGGCCCTGGTAGAGGATCGGAATGCCATCCGCTAGGAGCGGGAAGGTGATGGCGTTTTTGATCAGCGTCTGGTCGGACGTCAGGCTGGGGAATCGCGGGTTGTCGTGGTTTTCGAGAAAGGATCCGAGGAGGGTGACGTCGTTGCAGGTGGATTTCATCTGGTTGATGCCGTTGACGAGGTTGGAGATGCTGCCGGAGGTGTTCTGGAAGGCTTGCGTGATCCAGTAGTAGGCTGGGTAGTTGAGGGTGCCGTGGAGGTAGTTCTGGTAGGGACACATGACGTTTGGGTCGCTGACCCAGACTTCGCCGATGGTGTGGATTCCGCCGGCGGCGGCTTGGAAGCCAGACCAGAAAGCCGTGTCGATTTGGTAGGCGGTATCGATGCGTAGGCCGTCGACTGGAAGGGATAGGTTAGCATGGATATGAGAGTAATGAATGGGGCATTTGGTGGACGTACTGGAGTAGTTGGACACAAGTTCGGAGATCCAAGTACCCCACATGTTCTGGACATCACTGTCCTCGGTGCGAAGATCGGGTAGGGCAACGACATTATCGCCTATCCAGCAATCCTTGATGCTGGTATCATTGCTGTAGTCAATGTCGCATGGCGTGTGGAAGTACGACTGTTCGTTGAAGGGGTTGAGGGCGGCATAGTTGACGTTGGCTCTGGTGCTGATAGATGCCATGTGATTAGGAACGACGTCGACCATCAGATACTACCAACTGGTCAGTCTGTGGAGCCACATTCCAACAATAGCATTGTTTCCATACCATGCCTCTGTTATGCAGCGCGGAAGACAAAGACTTCAGATCCGCAGCAGTTCCGAATTGAGGATTGACGGAGTAGGCATCCTGTGCCCAGTAGCCGTGGTAAGAATTGCCATCGGCTGTCGATCCAATAGGGTTCTTGACGACAGGTGATATCCACACCTTGAAGGCACATTAGTATTTCGATTGCCAAGCAATGGATCAAGGAATGTAACATACCGCCGTGAACCCCATCTGCTGGATATAACCCAGGCGATTGATCAAGCCTTGCCAAGTCCCACCACAGTAGTCGCTCAGATCACAACTCGCCGTCGTCGATCCATCCGTCCTCGAAAAGCGATCCGTCATGACTTGGTAGATGGACTGGGCACGCCATTGTGCCGGAGTCAATCCGTGCACACAACCGACAACAATCGCGAGGAATAGACATAAGAATCGACCGGTAGTCGCCATGATGGACGAATGAGGATGCAGGAGCTGGGAGGACAACAGCAAGGAACAGTCGGGTACAACAAGACTTGCAAGAAAGGGAACCTACAGCGGCATTATAAGTTTTCTTTGTTTTCCCTGCAGAGGGGTCAAGGTCGCCCGCATGCAGCGCCATTGATCGCGCGGCGCTCGTCTGGGAGGGCCCAGCTGAGCGTTGTTCCTGGATCTCTTGCGCAAGAGACGCCTCGGTGAATCTGCAGTGGCAATCTTACGTATGGCTCCAAGGCCGAACAGCAGGCAGTGATATCCCCGCCACGATCCGGTCCCATGACACGACGGACAGCAGCAGCAGCAGCACTCAGACACGCCGGAGATGCGGACCATGACCACGTGTGAAAGGATGGTACTGCTGCTGCAGAGCTTCGATGATCTCGGGTCTGCGAGGCGGTCCTTCGGTTAAGCCAAGGATGACAGAGAATTTCGAGGCTATACTGCTCACAGACACTTGTTGCTGATTCGCCTTGGCCTCGTGCTGGACATGACCGGCCAATCCGCAGGGAAGATGCGGACAAGCGGTTGCATTGACGCATAGCTAAGCACTTATTTCAGTAGGTGTGCTTCTTGCAGAGACCGAGACCGCGTGTCATGATACGTATCCTCGAGAAGAAGGCTGGATGCTCGCGCACATGGAATTCACTGCAGAGTTGAGACGGACTGGCGACGGCGATGAAGGTACCGGACAACTCGTGGGCAAGCAGACCCGAGTCGTTTGTACGAGCATCATCCTCGCTCCTTCGCGGTGCGGCAACCCTTGCTTTACAGCCCGTCCTGGTCTCTTTGCGGATATCCCAGCATAAGGTAGCGAGGGTGCCGGGGTGGGATCTCCGGTGGTTGCAGCAACCTCATCCAGCTCGTAGTAGTAGGGAAAATGGAATTGTGACAGCTGCATGCTGACAGAGCGCATCAAGTGTGGTGTGTGTGCACCGGCATAGCAGTCTCAGAAGCACAGATCACCAGCTTGATAGCCTAATGGGGGACTCCCTCTCGGAGGGTCTCCTCCCTGCACCGAGGCTCCGGTCTGCCCTTAAGACTGAGGTATGCAGGAGGAACGCTACCGGTTAGGCTACCGTGTATGACTGCCAAGTCTGTGCGCTAAGACTAGGGATCCAGAGGAAAGAAAGACATATGACAGATAGACACACATATCCCAAGCCAGGGACGCTCTCTTCCTCCTTGCGTTCGACCTTTCGACCCAGCCTCGTCATCGTTCAAAGCTGTCAGGATCTCCGGAATCGCAAAGCTAGCTCTTCACCTTGGGGCCTGGGCCGTCGAGCGGAATTCTCCATCCATGATCGCAAGCGGCGTCGACGTGAAGGTGTCGTGTCGAGGAGGGAATGCGGTGTCGTCGAGATAGAAGTGAGTGGAGCCGTGCATGGGTGGTGGGTCGATCATCCGGACGAAGCACGTTTGTGCGTTGGTAAAACAATCCCTGTCCATGACGGAGAACCTCGATCTGCAATCTCGAGACTTCAAAAAGGCCGCGTATTCTATCTTCCACTGTCCGGTTCGGATTCAGTGGCGATATATCGAAGCCAACATCTCGCTATACATCGATGGGCATGTTTAGCCGACGCCTGTCCATCTACTTTGTGGCTTCTTACTATGCAAGCCCACAACCAGAGATCCGAGAAGCGACGCCTGAGGAGTTGAAGCACCGCCGTCATGTTTGTAAATCGCCGAGGCCCGAGAGAGAGAGAGAGAGAGAAAGAGAGAGAGAGAGAGAGTAAGAAAGAAAGAGAGACGGGCAAGATGGTGATGGCAGCAGCGGCGTTCATTCCTCGCTTTCTACCTGATGCTGTATCAGGCCTTCTTCCCAGCTACATGCGCTCCACGTCCAAACAAGCCCATGCAATGCGATGCCATCCAATAGCGCCTCGCTAATCAAGTAAACCCACTCCTATTTCCCGCCATGCAATCGAACACTTCAAATTTCGCTCGCTCATTCGCTCAAACGCTCACTGCAATCCGTCTGCTTCCAACATTTCCCTCAACAAATCTCCACCAGGCCCAGTCAGGACAGCACTGAGCTCCTTCACTCCCACCGCACTCGCAACTCTCCTTTCGTCCCCAATGGCAGCACCGCCAAAGGCTCCTTTTGGCTTGCGCCCAGGCGTCCTCGAAGGCGTGATAGGCACTGCGAAGCTGCCGTTCTTCCCGTCAACCGCGGAGACCAGGCTCAATGTCTCCAGACCAGACACAACATCCCGGAATTCCATGTTCGTCAGAGGATGGAAGAGGTTCTCACGCTTGCAGAGGCCGCTGTAGGCCTCAAACAGCTGCTTGACAGAAGGAGCGGTGCTGTTCGCTTTTGATGGCGTACAAAGCATGGTCCTTTCGACTTGAGTCTCGCGCTTGCGCTTCTCTAGCGCCGCAAGTGCGCAAAGCACGGCTTTCTGCTGCAGGTTGAGACCGCTCAATCGTTGTGTCGCTCCATTGCTGAAGACCTGAGCTGTCACCTTGGCCATATGGGCAATTGTCGCTTTCGGTGCTGTCTCCAAGGTGTAGGCTGCCCTTCGCTTGGGAGGAGAGTTTGCAGGAGACGATAGGTTGATGTTTTCCATCAACGGCGTTTTCGAGGGGCTGTCCTCCAGAGCTGTCTTCCCATCCTTCTCTCGCGTCTCACGATCCACCAAATCGATTGCTCGCTTGCAGATGTCGAACGCTTTTCGCAGATCTCCGGTCTGTGCGGCGACTTTCTTTGCGCAAAACTGGATTGCTGCTGGATGCAGGAATGGAACTGTCTCAGAAGCGTCCGGTGCTAGACCCTTGAGTTTCGATGTGATTACGTCTGCGATCTGCCCAGCGCTGTATGGCATGAATGGCAAAAGCACCGGTCTGAGGTTTCTCGACTTCAGGCGAGGAAGGAAGCGATCTGTCAAGTCCAGAGCATTCGCGATGCCAATCAACACGAGCCGTGAAGTTGTTTGCATCGACCATTCGAAGAGGCTGTACAGAAGCGCAAGATCGAGATCCACAAGACGGTCCACCTCGTCCAACACGACCACGTATTTCTTGCTGTCTCGCGCCTTTCCGCGCACAAAGCAGTTTCGCAGGTATTCAAAACCAGCATCTTCGTTCAGACCCAAGTCTTCTGACAGCTTTTGGCTCAGATCTTTCGTGTTCCGCACGCTCATGCAATTGACCACAGAGACTGGCACGCTCGCATCTTCCGTGTGCTCGCGTATGACTTCATCTAGCAATGCGCTCTTTCCTGTTCCTGGTGGACCAGAGACGTACAGACATCCTGCAGACTTCGATTGGATCGCGTTTTGAAGAAAGCTGGAGAGTTCGGCTCGCTCGTTGTCGCGTCCGATCAGCTTTCCGGGATTGGAGCATCGCGAGAAGAGCTGGCGCGCCTGATTGTATATGGTATTCGCAGCATTGGAGGGAGTCGACGGTGTCTTTGCGGTCCGCGGAGTCGCCTGACTGGCGGCAGTCAGAAGGCGGTGTCGCGGTGTGATGGGGACTTTCTTCGAAAGCGCGTCGCGATGTCTTGGCGTCTTTGGGGTCGCGTTCTCTTCATCGTCCTTTCCATCCCGATATACGCCGATCTCTTTCTTCGAGATCCTGAAATGAGAAGATGCATTCGCGGGAGAAAGATCAATGCGGGATTCGGACGCGCCGTGCTTAGCAGGCGCCGTCCTTCCGCATGAACGCGTCTTCTTCGCTGGCGGTTCCGACGCGTCTGCTTCGCTCTCCTCTCCATGTTGATTGTGAGTGACGAATGGATTCTGGTTCTCATCGTTGGGCTCGTTGATCGCAAGTCTTCGTTTTGCTCGTGTCGCTCTTGACGATGCGTCTGCAGTAGGTCTGTCTGTTGCGATGCGCCTTCCCGGCAGGCTTGATGCAGGTGTCGAGTCTGCAGATGCTGCAGCACTGCGAGTTCTCTTTCCGAGGACTGTGGAAGGCATGTTGGTCGTGACTTCTTATGTGTATGCAGGCTGGATTGTGGTGACGGAAGGTGCAATGCCTGACAGAGAGGCAAGAGTGGTGTGTGTGGTGTTGGGAAGGTGGGAGAGAAGAAGAAGCGGGAAGTCGCGACGCGTGTAGAGGATTTACTGACGCGTAAAGTGGCTGCCTTAGGCATACTGACTTCACGTCCCCCGGCACTTTCCGTCACCTCGTATCGTTGCTTCACGCCTATACGCACGACACGCAAACCAACGAATATCCTGTATTCGACAAGCAAGTGCGCCCCCGAAAAACATGGGCGTATACACTAGGCATCGTACAGGCGCCAACTAACACCCTGATAGGCTGCCAAATTACCGATACATCCATGGTGCCTCTCAAGTCGACGGCGATGGACACACAGACTGTGGTAGAACATTGCTACGTCCACATTGGTGATGCCTCAGATCAGGCTAACATCCTGGACCCTCAGGAGCAAAGCCATCGATTGAGGAACGGACTCGAACGCATCTGACGCCGATGGAGAACCAAAAAGAGACTTAAAAGGACAAGAATGCCAAATGTCTGGTGTTCTAATGTACAACACAGTTGCGCGCGGACTCCCGCTACCAAAGATTTTGCCGGCTCGGTAGTACATGAGGAGACATCAGCTCTCCGAGGGACCATGATACACTTTTCTGGTTCCTCGCAACCCCATTATCGGAACCCTCCAACCATACCACCCGCAACCGGCGCACCCACCATACCACCGTAACCAGTTGGCTGAGGCATGATGCCGTTTGGTTGGCCATATGGCGCTGGCGATTGCGCATTTTGAATAGGGCCTGTAGACGTGTGATCAGTATGCTTATCTTCCTCAGCAGAGTCTTGGGTTATATACCTTGTGTGAGCAGTAGTCTACTCTGACCTAGGATGGGTCCTTGTTCTCCGTCGTCCTTCTTATCTGCAGTCTCCCGAGCCTTGCGCTCATCATTGTCCTTCTTGAGCTCAGAGATAGTTGCCGCCTGCTGGGACATGTAGTTGATCATGAACGGCATGGTGAAGTCGTTCAGACCGTGACGCCAAGAGATTTCCATGATAGTGTGCAGCGGGATGAGGTCGTAGCAAGCGTAAAGCATGCCCACATAGCACTCTTTGCTACCGATGTCGACGAAGTATCGGATGAGTTCCTCGACGACTTCTGTCTTGTTAGAAATCGCAGATGTTTCAATGGCGTCCTTGTACAGCTTGTCTTGCTTGGAGAGCTGGATCGACTTGTCCCAGCGCTTGTTCTTGCGGTAGATGTTCGCCGCAATCTGTCTGAAGAAGACAAGGTCGTGCTTCTCCAGCCGCTGCGCTAGAGCCACAGCCTCGTAGTTGTCAAAGTTCTCAACACTGTCTCTCAGTTGCTTGTAGTCCTCTTCCTCGATCAATAAATCGTTGATCGCGTCATTTACAGCACGCTTGTTTTGCGACTGGACATTCAAAAGGAATGGCTTGATGAGTGGGATGTTGTCCGACTTCTCGAACATGCGGACGACACGGTTGACGTCGATGCGTGGTGTGAGAGCCTGCAGCAGATCTGTGAGAAGAGATGGCTGCTCCTGCAGGTAGAAATTGAGGGCTCTGTAGTAAATCTCCAGATTGCTGACTTTGACGACGGTGTCCTTGAATGTGTGGTGCTCCCAAGCATCGGCCGCACGCTCCATCATGGCCAGCGCGGCGTTGTCGTACTCATCGTAGTGGGCGTAGAGGAAGACAAGCTCGGGCCAGAGGTGAGCTTCCTCGCAGGCTCGAATCATCTTTGGGATGTTGATCCTTCCCCAGAAGATGCGCAGGTGCTCCATGACACGGTCGGGATGATACTTGCTGAGGGCAATACCGAGCTCGGTAAACATACCCATGTGAGCTAGGAGCGAACTATTAGCATCTGTTCAATTTGCCACGTATTTATGCACGCAACTTACCTCGCTCGAGTCCGAGACCAGCCTCTAAGAGGGAGATGAGCTCGTCAAAGTATCCGTTTCGCTCGTATTGCTTGACCAGGTCCGTGAGCTCTTCGGCATGTACAATGAGATTGAGACCGCAAATCTGGGCAAGACGGAATTCCTTCTTGGCAACACAAGCTTCGTTAACCTGCTTCCAGACTTTGACACTGTTGGCTTTCCGAGCACATTCAACAGCCGCCTGGTAGTCTTCGAGGTGCACGAGGGTTGTGGCAAGCTTGGCCCAATTTGAAATAGAGGTGAAGAAGATCTTCGCTGCTTCATGGTATCCCTCGGCATAGGCTTTGTCACCGGACTCTTCGATGTTTGCCACGTTGGAAGCGCGAAGGAACTCCTCCAGCTCAGGAAGTTGGTTCGTACGTGCGTAGCAGAAGGCAAGGGCAGTGTCGATGGGAGGCTCGCGAAGAGTCTTGCGAGCCATGCGCAGGAACTTGATGAGGTCTTCGTCCTTGCCAGCGTGCGTGGCAATCTCGATTACTTCGGCATAGTTTGAGGGATCCTGGGCCCGAATATACGACTCAATCGAGTCACTCACACGGAGACCATCCAACTGAGCCTTGCCGACCTTACTCCAAACCTCAGGAAGGTCAACCTGATCGGCGTATTCCTGGGCACGGTCGATGCTGACAACGTGATCAACCAACACTGTGGCGGCCTGGCTGTGGTCGTTGGCTTTCTTGTAGATGAGGAAAGCCTCTTCATACATGCCAACCTCGATGCATTGCTGAGCGATGTCATCGGGGCTGTAGTTGTCGAGTGATTGGATATATCCTGCCACGCGGCCCCTGTCCGACTTGGCAGCCGTGAGCATAAGGAGGTTCTGCAGATTAGCATTGTCGCTGAAAGTTGACGGCTCCAGCAGGATTTTCTCAAGGAGCTCAATCAACTCAATCGGCATATCTGCGTCGATGAACGCCTTGACTGCAATTGACACGCGCTCAGGATCTGTGGCTTCAGGCTAAAGCACTAGTGTCAGCGACTCTTCAGTGCAGCGAAGCTTTTGTTCTCAAATGGACTTACGACTGCAACGGCAATGACTTGATCCACAAGTGAGCGACGATGGATGTTGTTCTCGGAGAGAACGTAGGACCACACTTCCGCATCGCCACGTTCAAGCAGATAGCGCGCCTGCGCTCTGAACATGGCGTTCTCGTTCGTGATATTGATCAGCTCAATGTCATTTTGACCCTTGCTGTAGGCGATGAATGCCAGATTTGGATCCCTCTTTTCGCAGTATTTGCCGATGGAAAGCGTGTCGTACTGGTCATTCTCTTTCAAGAACTTCTCCGGGTTGTTGTTGCTGTCGATGTAAATCTTCGCGAGAGCATTGTAAACAGCCTGTTGCTGGTTGCCAGCAGCCAGAGTCTGCTCCAGGAATGGAAGCAGGAGCTTCAAGCGGTTGCGGGACTCGACTTCGGACACCAACTCATCAATCGGAATGCTCTGCGGCGAGACAGAGTTGAGAAGGCCCTTAATGATACTTTCTTCGCAATCGACGTCCAAGAGACCGCCGATAACGCCAGGAGTTCTTGCAGGATTGACTCTTTGGACCTGAAGCGAAGGGCGAGGTCAGCAAGTGTCTCTGGTAACGATCAGCTCCGGTGCTTTGTTTAACGTACATATACTTCAATCGACTTGAACTGCTGATTCTTGTACAGGTACAGAACCAAGTCGTGGACGAAGTTGAATCGGTCGCAAACAATTATCAAGGGAAGCTGTTCGGTGAGGTGCGCTTCCTTCAGGAAGTTCTTCACCTTCTCCGGATCGTAGTGGTCTTCGAAGAAGTCAGCAGTTGTACAAAGTTGCAAGGCCAATCCCACCCAGCCAGGACCTTCATAGCTGTTTCATTTCCCATAGGGTCGCATAGCGTTTGAAAGGCTCGCGGAGATGCTGAGGAATTGAACTGCAGCACATGAGGCCCGCGTTGGGGAAAGGGGATACTTACTGCTCTCTCGGCAAATACGCTCGACTTCTTGAAGCTGGCCCATGGTCGTGGCGGCCTCGATGTACTTGAATGTGACTTCCTTGTCTTCGCTGAGGTTGACAATGCCGCCGAGATAGAAGTAGAGACCTTCGGCTGTGCGGTACTTCTCCAGAAGGTCGATAATACGATTGGGTCCGAAAAGGTCGGAATACTTCTTCGAAATATCCACAACAGCCTTGAGAGAAAAAAGCGGAAAAGATTAGCAAGTTTATCAGATGTTTGTTCATGCTTTACGCTGTTACTCACCTGAAGGTTCTGGCGGATGTTCACCTTCAACATTTCGTCCAAACACTCGAGGGCAAGGTCGACAGTAAGGCGTCCAAAGTAATTCTGTAGAAATTCGGGAGGGATCTTGTCCGTCTGGACAATGCAGCGCTTGATGCTCGCCGGATCTTCGTAATGCTCCAGAGCTCTCGTCAGTAGACCGGCATTCTCGCACAACTGGGCAACGCGCGCTTTGTCGTAGTATGAGAACATTTCGTTGCCAAGAATAGCATCTGCAACCTGAGGAGCATTCATCAAGTTCATCTCCAGCAAGCGAGTCTGCAGATGTCCCTGCTCAGGCTTGTTGGCCGAGAGGACATCAAGCAGGAACGCGGTTGCCTGCTGAATCATGCCTTGAGACTGGAAGATGTCGACGGTACGGTCGACGTCGATGAGGCTGGCATCTTCCTTGGCAAGGCTCGTGGCAAACTCAGCGCCCTTCTCAGGATTTACCCGTGTAATGTGCTGAAGGAGAGCGTTGAAGTCAGGCGTGTAGCCAGCTTGGCGAGAGTATGGCAGGATCTGGTCGAAATTGCCCGACTCTGCCATGGCCGCAATCACCTTCTGGGATGCGCCAGCCTCCTGGTAGATCTGCTGCGCAAGAGCAACATCATGCAGTCGTACCAGATCACCGAGCTGCTCGGAGCAACCCAGCTTGCCCTCTTTCATCCACTTCTCAAGCAAGTGCTTGCGGTTTTGCTGTAGGACAGGTCGCGCAAGCTCCAAGGTCTCGTGCTGGTTCAGCTTGCCCTTGTCCAAAAGCATGCCGAAATATTGAAGAATTACAGACAGCTGACCTTGCTGCTGAGGTACAGACTTGAACTTTTCTATCGTCTGCGGCGTACGGAGGAAGCCCTGAGGAGAGTTGGCAGCGGTCTTGGCTGCTTGCTGGTAGTCACCCATTGACAGGAGCTGATCGAACCGCTGTTGGTACAGCTGATCGGCGCCAGGAAGACCAGCTCTTGACGCCAATTTGTATGCAAGCTCCGCATTCTCTGGGTTCTGCAGCAGGTATGGTATTATGGTGCTCTCGTCTACGCTCACAGAGAGCACTTGACCCTTTCTATTCACGCCAATGATTCCTGTGCCATCCTCATCGCCCGCAGTGGTGAAGATGGTGTCGCTCGATATGCGGTTCATGAAAATGCTCGTAGCGGTCTCGAGATCGTAGAGGTGGATGAAACCGTACTTGGTCACCAGGTAGATGACCTTGTACTTCGACGAGACTTGCATGGCTACTGGGAAGTCATTGGTTGCCTCGGCAGGGAAGTAGATATCCACGGCCTTCTTCTGAAATGTTGGGTTGGGTGCTTGGTGGTCCACCTCGACAATGTGGAGCTTTGCACCAGTCGCAGAGCGGTTTGCGAAGGTAAAGAGCTTGGTGTCGGCGGGGGCATCTTCCAGTCGAAGAGTGCCAAACGCAGCAGCATGACCCTCAATCGCTTGACTAATGCCTCGGTCCCTGGAATAAAGCTGCATAGCGCCAACCACACGGCCCTGCTGCTGCGAGATTCCTACCACAACCATCCACTTCTCGTCCTCGCTGACGCGGTAGTTGATGATCTGGCAGCCGCTGAGATTCTGATTTCGATCAAACATCTTCTGCGGCGAGACTTGAGATGGGTCAAAGATGTTCCAATGATACACACCGGTGTCCGTAACCAGTCCCAAGCTGGAATCGTTGAACCACTTCCAAAAGACAACATCCTCAGCTAATGTCGCGCTCTTGATCTTGCTCTTCTGCGCCAGGTCGAATATTTGCAGGGTCTTGCCCCCAGCCTTCAGCGCGATGATCTCCTTGTTGTAGTGCATGATGGCGCTGTCAGCCTTAATAGGCCGGCGCATGACGCTGTTTCCATTCTTGAGGTTTATTATGATAACTTCCGGGTTCGCGTTCTCGTCGACCTTTTGGCGCACGCAGACGAAGTGGTCGGATTCGAGTGTGCAGGAATTGAAGCCAATGGACGCGGGCAGGATACCGGCGGATGTGAGGTTCAATTGCTCCGTGAACTTGATGGGAAGCGGCGCCATGGTCGAACGGGTGTCAATGGGGCCACCTCATCAGTATGTGAATGCGAATCGCGTGCACAGAATATATGCAGGTATGTGGAAAGAGCGGAAGTGTTCGTGATGTCGTGAGGCGAGGTGTGTTTGTAGGTGTTTCGGTGGTTGAAAGGGGAAGAAGTGCAGAGCCAGTGACGCTGCTGCTGAGCTAGGTGTTCAGTTGTCGCTGCAGGTGCCTTGTGCCTCAATAACTTCGCGTGGCGCGGCTCTTTCCGCAACTCTGTCTCGGACCTCAGCTGCAGACCTCTCAACTCCTCCTTTCCTCTACGAACTCCACGGGCTGCCATCCTTTGTATACCTATCTGAACAATATTTGCTGCCTGGGCTGATCTGCTCTGGGAAGTGCAGCCTACTCATCCACCACATAACACCGACGATCATGTCACAGGAGCGAATCGCGACAACCTGGATGCGATCCGCCCAGAAGCAACATTACTCCTGTGCTGGATTATCCCAATGATCGACGCAAAAGCACGCATTGCAATCAATTCCACAACGTCTTCAAGAGCTAGGACGGTAGGTTCAGACTACTCGAGGATATGCATCCAGACAGCATAGTTGCGTCACACCGAATGAGCGATAACAGCTTCGAAGACGGCATATGAGGCTGAAGTAGGATTTTCCGAGCTGCTCCCGCCCAACTTCGATCGGGGACGACTGTCTAAGACGACAAGTCCTGTCAATATAATTTCGGCTGCTTATGGAAATTCGACATAGCCTTGACCCTCCACGAAAGTCTGCAGCCATGGCTTATCTTCCGTTGACTCCACTGGATCCAGATAAATCTTAGCATGATTCGGACCACTGATGTCGCGAAAAGCAGCACTACCATCACTCTTCCTTTCATCGGCAAAGTAGAATCGGATCAAAAGTCAGCGTGGTTCAAATGGCTCTTGCAGCTGCTTTGCACTCACCGGAAGCCCTTGCGAGCATATGACTTTGATGCCACATGGATAAGATGTGCCGTCGCCGACTTTCACATTCCGTTACTGATGAGACGTGGCATGATCTCTTTGTTCAAGAAATTGCCAGTGTATATGAACGTCTTCGGAATGCCGGACGATAACTGCCGGAATCCTTGCACAGCTCGCTGAGCTGCAACCAATACGCTTCCCGTGTTGACTGCAACGTCCTGATTGAAGTTGGCCAAGGAGAGCTCCAAAGGGTCGTCTGCGGACACTAACTTCGCACTAGCCGCTGGAAGACCATATCAGCTTTAGGAGTCATGCCTTGGACGTAGCCTCCCGTACCATTGTAGACGATTACGTTCGGTGGTCCAAAGGTGGCCGAGACCTTATCGAAGGCTGAGTCCACCGATTCCGCATCAGCCAGATCAGACTGAAAACGTAACTGACCATCCTTATCGACAGCATCTTGGAGTTTTCTAGCGGCAAGAGCGATTTTGTATCTGGCCTGGGCAAATACTGCAGCAACACTGGCGCCGACATTGCTGCCTGCTCCAAGGATGAGGAGAACTTTAGTCGTTGACAATTTGATATCCAATGGTGGACGAAGGCTGCTGAATGTCTGTAGGAATCGATGGGCAATCAGAACTGCTACAGGCAACCATGACACATCGCTCCCATTATATGTATTTCTCAACGCACGTTGTGTCTAGGCAAAACTTGTGAATTGCGTGGGCTCGCATTGCTGACATTCTCATCGCTCTTTCGGGCCGCCCGGACCTCCGTGCTTACAGAATTTTCATGAGCGAGCAAACGTACTAGGCACCGTTGACCAAGGCTATCCAGCTTGTTGTAACGAAGCAATATGCAGATCTTTCCACTTCGCGAGAAGACCTCTTATGCTGTAGAACAGCCGATGAACGAGTAGCTCGATCGTCCCTTCGCGCAGACTTGAGATCAGATTGCCGTGGTAGTGCTTGTGAGAAGGCACTGACCTGCCTCTTGATCTTCATATATTCCAGTTCCGGTGAGGAGCAAGGTCACGTGATGCTTGGCTCTCTAGACAAAGCAAGTGGAACAATACGTGGTTTCTTTCAGGATCTTGAAAAGGCTTGATGAATAGAAGAAATGGTATCCGTTGTGTTGTGGGTGAGTCCGCTATACTCACAGTGCTTGATGTCAAGAATAGACGCAGATTCATGAGGACATGCCCCTCGCCCCCAAATGACTCATGGGTCAGCCCACGTCAGGCCCCTCTCCGTTCGATATTCATTCTCCCGGCCTTGAATCGCAAGACTTCAGCGACGCATCCCACACCACCATTACCCACTTGGAAAGTCTCTGTGTTTTTGTGACAAGCACGCGTAGCCTTCGTATCCAGCGAAAGTCGAGCCCCTTTCCAACGAGTAACCGCGACCATGGCGCCGACCAAAACGTCGTGGGACGATGAAGAGGAGTCCTCCTCTGGTGAGAGTTCGCCAGCACCAGTCGCAGCGGTGCGCCGCGGCAAGTTCGATGACGAAGAAGATGAGGACGTATTGGAGTCGTGGGACGCTGCGGAAGACAGCGACGAAGAGCGCGAGAAGGCAAAGAAAGCAGCCGAGGCCAAAGCAAAGGCAGAGGCGGCTGCAAAAGCGAATCACAAGAGCAAGTCACAACGGGTAGAGGAGATAAGGAATCAGCGTCTGAGACAGCGCGCTGAAGAAGAAGACGAAGAGAGCGAAGAAGAAGACGAGGCGGAGAAAAGGGCCCGAGTGAGAGCATCGGAGAAAGCCAGCGACATGCAGCACGCTGAGGAACTATTCGGTGGAGTGGGCGGTGTTCCCGACAGCCGTGGCGCTTCAAAAGCTGTCACTGTCCAGCAAGGCGACGATCCGTCAGACACAGTCGATCTCGCAAGCCTCAAGATCTTCAACCCGCAAACTGCCGCACAATTTGCTAAGCTGCGCGAGACACTGGTTCCTCTGCTCAACCAGAACGGCAAGAAGGCATCATATGAAGGCTTCATGAAGGAATTTACAAAGCAGATTGTGCGCGATCTGAATAGCGAGCAGGTCAAGAAGATTGCGAGTGGCCTGACCGCCATCAGCAACGAGAAGATGAAGGAGGAGAAGGCTGCCGAGAAGGGAGGCAAGAAGACAAAGGCGGCCAAGACGAAGACCACCCTCAACGCGAGCCGTAACGTTGCTCGTGAGGCAGATACGGCTGCATACGATGACGGTCTGGAAGAGTACGTTTGACAACTCAGACACTGTTAAAGTCTGACTGACGAGATTCACAGTGACGACTTCATGTGATTGACCTCGAACCTCGGTTCGATTGAGTGTTCTTCCCACTGCCGCCCAACAAGCTACATGCCGATGCATTGCCAAGTAAGAGCGGTTTTTTTCAATTCGATTTCGATTAGCGGCAAACGTACACATTGTGAGTGGCGAAAGGCGTGCAAGAACCTTCAACACAAGTATAGATTTTGAGACTGTTCCCAATAGCATTCGAAGGATCTATACTCCCAAGAACCGCGTGATCTCCTTGACCATGAACTCGCTATCTTCTGTTGAGCCACCGCCACCACCAGCCAAATGTCCCCAAATACTCTCGATGACGCTCAACTCTCCTTTTTCCAAACACTTGACTTCCTCCACACTATCCTCGGAAGGGAAGTACATATCCGTTCTCACCGGCATGACCAAACACCTAGACTTAATCCTCCCCAATGTCTTGCCCAAATCCCCACCATCCTCGGGAAAATAAATCCCTATGTCACCACGCTGCCAAGTCCAAATCAAGGCCAACAAATCATTTCCATCCCCCTGTTCCCCATTCCATCTTGCATTCAAATAAGCCTCCAAACTCTCAAACCCACATTCTCTCCAACACCGCTCTCTAAACCACGCCTGACTCAAAGCCCACGTAGAATAAACCCTCTTAAAAGCCTCGATCCCCCTCCTCGGCCTCACATTCCCATACTCCCCATCCTTGAAATCCACAGAATGCATCAAGGCAAATTTGGGGCCCTCAAGGAAAGACCAATTATGCCAACTCGTCTTCGCGGAACCGGCGATGCAAACCATATTCTCTACGAAGTCGGGATAGAGCGTGGCCATGTGGTAGGCTTGCTGTCCACCCATAGAGAATCCAATGTACGCGAAGAGTCTCCCGATGCCTAGAGAGTCACATAGGGATTTTTGGAGATGGATGTTGTCTTCGTATGTTGTTCCCGGGAATTTGGGACCGCTCCATGGTTCGGGGGTGTTGGAGGGCGAGGAAGACTCACCACCGCCCAGGAGAGCTGTCACGATGATGAAGAATTCCTTCGTGGAGAGAATAGGTCCTGTCGCGTTGGGAGCGGACTCTTGGGTGTAGAGCCATGGCGACGTAGATGCCAAAGTACCGCCGAAACAAGTCGGAAGGAGGACGGCTGGGTTGCTGGACGAGCCGAGGGTGAAGTACGCAAGTTTAGCGGGAAATTTCGTGTTCGGCGGCGAGGATTGAGAGGAGAGGGTAATTTCTTGATGGAAGTATTGAGTTTCTGGCATTCTCGCCATCAAAATGAAGAATCTCAGATGGGTGAGAGAGGGGTGAGATGGAAAGGTGAAGTTGAGCAAGTTCACTACAGGACCAATTAGGAAGGAGCAGTTCAGCTGCGCCCTCCACACAACTGCATCAGGGTATATCAAGGTTTGGTCTCTACGGATACTTGGCAGTAGTTGGATGAAATCTATTGAGCATTGAACTGACGCTGAGAATGCTGTTGTAATAATGCCAACGGCGTCTCCGGACTCACTCATCAAACCCGCGTGCAGGTAGTCCATATCCTGCTGCCGTTGTTCTAGATACTGAAGTCTCCCCGCTCCCCAGAAGCCGGTATTGCATTGCGAAAAATACTTGATTTTCATCCTCACCGCAGCACCTGTCAGCTCCAAGTGAGGCAAGTTGCCCGACTGCTGTTCACAATCAAGCGGATAGACTTCACGCGAATGCTGAAGACAGACCGAGTCCATTTTACTGCCCCTTCGGGCAAACGAGTCGAGGGTGGTACGGAAGAAGTCTCGACCGCTGGGATCTGTCAGTGACACCTCAATCATAGTAATTTGCCTCGAATCCTCCCTCTGGTGGCCGATGAGCGTTTTGAAAGCTCTCTGGTCGGTACAGATGCATTCCAGAGCCATCTTTCGGAGTGTTGGCCAGGGTCGCGGCTGCCCTGCAATAGTCGAGAGAAATCATTATCCGCATCGTTTCTTGGGCTTCGCATTTTGCAGAAACGCATTTCCAGGGTTGTGAGATTGGGAAAGAGCCTTAAAAACTGGACCGCGTCATCGGCGTAGAGCGTTGCGGGTCCCCTATCTGTCCCAGATATGTCGCGTGGTCAACAGAAGCTGCAACTTCGACATTGATGCTTGTCAATCCACTTGCGTGCGGATTCTCTCTGAAATGTCAAACCCCGTTTGCGAGTTTCTTCAGGCTGTTGTCGTATTCCGCAAACGAGGCTCCAGAGCGATTCGCAATCCCAAGATGGTAAGGTCCTTTAGCAGTGAGATGAATTGGACTTTCTCGTGAATTGCTCGAAGGCTGTGATGCCACGCTCCGTCAGCCGTCGCCCTGCCTTGGGGCGCTTATCAAGACGCGATGCGATGCCTTACGAGCAAGCTCGCGACCAGAGCGACGAAGACTGTACATGTCGCAGAGATTCAGATGGATGTTGATCATCTCGATGAGGTCCTCCGGAGGCGCATTAAGATGAGCGGCCATGGCAAACCTCTGCGAACGTATGCGACTGAGTGAGGGTTCTAGCGCTTGGTCGCGTGAATCCTGTTGAGATCTGTTGTTAGTTGCCCTGAAGCAACTCCAAAGACTTCGACACTATTCTCCTGCGGCACAGCACGCAGGCTTGCACCAGGCAGCGATGAAGCCTACTGACTTGATCATGTCCTCGTCCCAAAGATATGTCGTGCGCCACGGACTGCTGCTGCACGCGGTCGACTTCCGTATCGCATGTATATCTTGCATGTATATCTCCACGTAGAGCGGCAGAGGTACTCCAACACAGGCAAGGACGTGCGAATGATCAGCGCTCCGCATGCACCCTAAACTGACTCATCCACTTCACCTATCACGTCTTCGTGTGCTGTTCCTGCGCTCCATCCGTGCCAAGTTGCAGTCGCGGCCCAGCAGTGCTATTGGCGCAGCTTGGATGAGAACAGCGTCGGGTAGGGCGTGCGGTATGTGATGTGGTCGAACGACGCCCGAGCTGGTGGGCAGCGAGAGATTGGAGCCAGGTGTCTGTACTGGCATATCCCAGCGAGTCACGCATGCTGGGCAGCAGACGCCAAACGCGTGTCAAGGCAGTCCTTGACGTCGCTACCGCCCCCAACGAGAGTTATTTATTGGTTGAAGGCTGAGGCGCTGGCGGTGAAACAGACTAGAAAGCGTGCAAATCAGAGGCCCCATCAATTTTCAATCAATTCTCGTCTGTTGAGGGTCGTCTTTGAATAGCACGCACGGGCCTCTCTTGCTGCCTCAGGCTGCACCCGCGTCTACTTCTTTCGCTAAGTCTCCACCTCGACAAACAACTCACAATATCACAACAACTCTTCTCTTGACCACACCTCCACCCACCCTCCCATCCGCTTCCTGCTACGCCCTCCCAACAACCTCCGCAATATCCTGACAACCCGCGACCATGGCAACTGAGGTACGTTTCCCCTCTCATCAACTTCATCGCAGACATTGCGCAAGCATCGTGTGCCTCCTCAACCAATTACCCCAACCCTGCTTGCAATGATTCCGTGCTAACTGTTAGCCCGTGATTGCTACAGCGCGAGAGGTATGTCGGAACGATACCAGGCGGCGCCATCCGACCGACACTGACAACATGACAGCAAGACGTTCCTCGCACGACTGTGTGAGCAGGCTGAGCGCTACGATGGTACGTCATCTTGTGAGAAACTGTGAGAAGCACATGCTAACGGCCCTTTGTAGAGATGGTCGGATACATGAAGGTGAGAATGGCAAAGTCTCCGTATCTCTCGCGTAATGACCGCTGACGTGTGAAAATCAGGAAGTCGCAAAGGTATGCCTACCGATAAGCCCTCTTACCCAATCGCGAAACCACGCAACCTCCCAGCAGCCCGCGAAAGACGCACACCAACTCTTCCCCAAACTGACTCCAGGTCCAGATCGGCGGCGAGCTCACCGTCGACGAGCGCAACCTTCTCTCTGTCGCCTACAAGAACGTGGTGGGCACGCGTCGTGCTTCCTGGCGCATCATCTCGAGCATCGAGCAGAAGGAGGAGGCCAAAGGCTCGGACAAGCACGTCGGTATCATCCGCGATTACCGCCAGAAGATCGAGACCGAGCTCGAGAAGGTCTGCCAAGATGTCCTCGATGTGCTCGACGAGAGCCTCATCCCAAAGGCCGAGACCGGCGAGAGCAAGGTCTTCTACCATAAGATGTTAGTATACACCGAGCAGAGCAGCAGGCAGCGCTTTTCTTTGACCCTCCGATATCCCGAGTCCGCAATACTGACAACTTGGGACGACAGGAAGGGTGACTACCACCGCTACCTTGCCGAGTTCGCTTCTGGCGAGAAGCGCAAGACCGCCGCGACGGCTGCCCATGAGGCCTACAAGGTATGCGGCGTTTGGTGATACCTCCCACGTGGTTTCGAAAGATGCTAAATTGTGTTTCAGAACGCCACCGACGTCGCCCAGACCGAGCTCACTCCTACTCACCCAATCCGTCTCGGCCTCGCCCTCAACTTCTCAGTCTTCTACTACGAGATCCTCAACTCACCCGACCGCGCGTGCCATCTCGCCAAGCAGGCCTTCGACGACGCCATTGCCGAGCTCGACAGCTTGTCCGAGGAGTCGTACCGCGACAGCACCCTCATCATGCAGCTTCTGCGTGACAACCTCACTCTCTGGACCTCATCGGACGGTGGCGAGCCAGATGCCGCCGCGGGCGAGGCCAAGGGCGAGGAGAAAGCTGCCGAGCCAGCGACAGAGCCCCCAGCGGCTGAGGCCGAGTCGAAGCCGGCTGCCTAAGTGTGGTGCGAGCTCTTACCGGAGTCATCAGAGTGCGCTTTCTCCTGGCGTTGGCGTGGTGTGTGGGAGCGTGGTATGATGCATCTTTCTCGATCCCTCCCCGTCTGAGGTGAATGGATGGGAACGAGAAACGGTAGCAGGGGACAAGAATTGAGAACCTCTTTTTGACGAAGAAGGAAATTGCAAGCAAGATCTTCACTTTTCACCCTCGGCGGGATATTGAGCACAAGAGCAGACAGAACTTGTTGGCTGACTGCCCTGCGGCTCTAATAGCGAAGAGGAGTGGGAAGAACGATTACGGAATGCAGTTTGATCCTTTCATGAACCCCTCGACCACCAACGACATATCCCCCCTGATGCGCGTGTTTGCTTTTTGCTGCTAGCGATGAAATGATTTCCCCCTCTGTCTGTGTGTGCGCGGAATGGCTATAGCTGGGCTGGGCTGGCATGTTTTTCTCCTTTTACCTACCTACTTTACTGACGGTCTCTACTGAAAGCTAGCGTTGAGCAGCTCACGAATATCAACCAAAAAACAAATTTAAACATAAGACTGTCTCCCGTTTCTCTCGAGCTGTCTGTGGGTCGCGGAATGATTGTTGCCACGTACTCGGAGTTCTTGCCGGTCCCCTCCCTAGGTTTCATTGAAAGACTAGTCGAAATATCAGGGCACGAATGTGGCTCGTGCATTGCGGACTACACTTCACCTTGCACTTCGACATTGACATACGTCTTCCAAGTCACCTTTTAGCCTTTCTGAAACCTGTCTGATCTTCACAGGGTCTGATCTTGATTGGCGGCACAGTGAGCGGCGGCGCTTTCGCGGAGTCATTACTAGGACGGCTCCTTTATTCAAGAAGAATCCAGACATGTGGGTGCCACTAGTCACACTTGATTACAACGTCTCGTTTGCGTTGTGCTACTTGGCCATTGTGGATGGTCTCGATCCATATCTTACGCGATGGCTGCAGGTGGAAACCCCTTCTAGACCACTCGGGGGACAAGGGACACATTCGGTATGACTGGAGCCGCATATCAGTGCTCAAAATGCTTGATGCCATGTTAGCCCGTCTGATAGGAAGTCGAGCAGACGACATCATCGAATATGTTTGGCTTGTAAGAAGGATGAAAGTTGCTGCCTGTAAAGACAGAGCGAAGCAGGAGCGTTAAATGGACGATGGCGGATTTGCGAGGATCCCACTTTGATCGAAAATTACTGCAATAACCATGACATTGGAGGGCGGAACTTTTTACAAGACCGATGACCGCTTGTGGGAACGGGTGGTTGACTACTACTACAACAAGCGAACCCCCAGAGATCCACCATATCTCCGCCATGGTCACATCCGACGAGGTCACAAACTTCACAACAGCTGCGTTTCCTCGAAGAAGCAATGGAAAGGCTTTCTCGCCCAGAACTGATGACCTGGAGGAGTCCAATTCCCAGAACTAATCGAGCGCTTCAAAGACAGTTGATCCATCTCCATCAATGGCTACTGAAAGAGGGCAAAGAAAAAGATGCAGGATGGGTCGCACCTCCGACCCCGAAACCACTGAGCCTGAAGGATGAAGAAATCGCTCCAGGAGGCCAAGAGATACGCAGGTCGTCTTTGGTTCCGGCTCAAGTCTGGAGAGTTTCCAGACAGCCCCAAGGCACGAACGTCTTGGCAGTCATATGGAAAATCCTACCCACTTGAATGGCCTTCTTCTGGCGTCGATGCCGCGGCAAGGCTCACTCAAATGGCATTTGAAGATTGTCACCTCTGCGGTCCCCCTCAAAGAAGGCCTGTGTGGCGGCTGCAGATGCATTCTTCGAGAACATATGTAGCTCCGCCCCGCCCCCCTGGGATGTGTATGTAGCTATTGCTATGTGAATGCATTTTCGGCAATGGGTTTGATGGTACTCAAGTGTGTTGAAGTAAGACTTCAGCCATGTAATGTAGAGATTCTGCAAATGGTTTGCCCTGGGGCTGCAGACCGCACCGCATGTTGGGGCAGAGATTGCACACATTCTACTCCAACCGCGCACCATCCTCGCTGATGAGAGAGAGTAGCATGACAATCCAAAGTAATGGCAATCCATTCACTGCACACAGCAAAATAGCACAGAGAGAGAGAGAGAGAGAGAGAGAGGAATCCAATGCATTTTGAAAAAGACAAAAAAAAACCGTCAGGGTATCATAACGAAATGATATATATAATACTTTCTTCGCCGCCCCAAGAAACCCTTCCCACATCATCGTCTCCTCCACCTCCTCTTTTTCTGAATCAGACCAAATGCGAAGGCAACAAGAAATTCGCAATCCCCTCCTTGACCGCATACTCATGCCCGCAATGCCCACAAGCCAATTTCCCACTCGCGATACACGTCTCCATCAACAGCGTGTGGAGATCCGTGAGTGTCTGCGTCGGTTCTTCCGCTGCTGCTTCTTCATCACCCTCACCCTCCGATGATGTGCTGCTGAAGAGTTCTGAAGAATTGGGGATTTGTTCCGGTAGATTTGGGAGGCCGAGCTGTGGGAGAAAGAAAATTAATCATTGTTTCAGGGTGTGTGGAAATTCTTAATTAATCCCAGACCAAGAATGAAGAAAAAGAGAGAGAGAGAACATATCATGCATACCTCATTCGTCAAGATTTTCAAGGCATTCCAATCCAGTCTCGGGAGTAAGTTCTTGATCAAGAGGGGATTGCAGTCGGTTTCCACCTGTTCGAGTTCGGCTTCTTTGGGATGCAGGGGAAAGGCGTCCGGGGAGGATTTGCAGGCCTTGCGAGCGCAGGTGAGGAAATTGAGAGTGAGGAGTTTCATCTTTTGGAAGCCAAGCCAAGCGGATAATGTTGTTGTTTGTCTGTCCTGTCTGGATTGAGTTGATTATTGGGAAAAAGGGCGGCAGTGTCACTCAACTAAGGTACATGTGGAAATCCCAAGACTTTTGTGCTAGGAAAGACACGACTTTTGACTCGCTTGAGTTTACTAGGTACGTACCTTACCCTTAGACTTCTTTCCAGCCACAACGACCTTACATCGAAACCAAACTAAACAACAACATCAAATCCACAACCAAACGACGTCGTAATCAAGATGAGCGCCGAGCCAGAATCAGAACCACCAGCAGCAGCAGCAGCAGCAGCGTCCAACGGCGACGCACGGGATCCCAGCGGCTTTCTCAGCGAAATCATCGGCGCGCCCGTCACGGTGAAATTGAACTCTGGGGTCGTGTACAAAGGTCAGTCCAAAAAGCCTCCCAACCACCACAACAGATATGGGCGATGAGAAGAAAAGAAACAAAAAACTGAAAGGCATCGTTTTTTTCTTTTCGGAATCATAGGCGAACTGCAATCCGTCGATGGATACATGAACATTGCGCTGGAAGACACCAAGGAGTTTGTGGCGGGCAAGTTAAGGAGGAATTATGGGGATGCGTTTGTGAGGGGGAATAATGGTGAGTATTGGTCCTTGTTGTGGCTGAAGTGATGGGAGAGAGATTTTTACTGATGTGGTGTTTTTTGGGGGGGGCAAAGTCATGTATATCTCTGCTGATAATGCGTCGTGAGATTGGAGAGAGAGAGAGAGAGAGAGAGAGAGAAAGAGAGAGAGAGAGAGAGAGTGAGAGAGAGAGAGAGAGAGAGAGAGAGAGAGAGGCGTTATGGGGATCTCGACGGGGACGACAGAGTAGAGGTTGAAGAATTGGCTTGAGGGGTATGGTCTACGTCGATGTAGGCGGGAAGGGTCTATACGAGGGAGATATTCGGGCTCAAAGACGAGGACTAGGCGTCCTAGAGCCTGGCCAATGCATCATGAGGCCTCAGCCCTCTCATCATCATCAATAGCCTCTTCTGCCGTCCGCCCTTCGGCCGGAATCTTCGTCGTCCAGAAAGCATACGTATTCCCATGGACGACCAGTTCCCCCTTCTCATTCGTCTCCGCCTCTGCTACGATCTCCGAGAAATCCTTGAACACCCCCTCTCTTCGTTCGCCCTCAAGAACAGCAACATGCCCCAGAGTGCGATACCTCTCCCAGAGTGTCTCTCTCGACAGCGCAACCTCAAACACCTCCCGATGCTCTCCAATCGGTAACGAAAACACCTGATCCTCACTCGCAGTCAGCAAAGAGATAGGCGTCATTTTCACCTGCTCATCAAACACCTTGCGCCACTCGGCATTGCGAAAACGAGGTTCATGGTCCCCGGATTCCTTTGCAATGCGGAAAGTGAGGTCTTGCAATTTCTGTTCCCAAGCAGTAGAAGCCTTGTGGTCATGAGGGGAGTTGTAATCCTCTGCGTTCCAAGTCAATCCGAGAGCGGAATGGCGCTTGAGAATGCGGTGGATTTCCTTGAGAGCGCGCATGTCGGCGAACCAATGGAAGCCCTGGGCGCGAGTCTCAGCTCGCGGTGGACTACTTGACGGAGAGGAAGAGGAAGAGGGGAGGGTGTAGGAGAGATGTGAGGAGTGAGACCTACCTGTGCCACGATGATGGCGTCTACGCTGGAGTCTTGAATGTCTGGCATCTTGTCTCCCGAGCCATCTACGATCCTGACTCGCGGGAGGTTTTTGGCGGTGAGGACGCCTCGCATGCCATCGTGAGGATCAACAGCGATGATCTGGTATTCCTCTGGTCGAGCTGCGAGCGCTTCTGTGAATTTGCCGCTGCCTGCGGCGAGGTCGACGATCTTGGCGCCCTGGATGTTGGCGTTAGCTTTCCTGGCCAGAGGGGCTGCTTCACGTAGACGCCAGGGGGTGAGCGTAGTGCCTGTAGCCATACATGTTTGCCTGCGACGTTCAACTTTTCCAGTAGAAACTGCACAATAGTCGCTGAATACGCCGGACGATGTTGGTCATATGCCGCCGCCTTCGCAAAGCTCGACTGGGCGTGAGCGTTGATGCCGCCGGGGGCGGCTGCAGCCATTCTCCAGCAGTCACAGCACAGGCAACAGGATGTCCGAAAGGGCAGCGGGGCGGGAGATGGAGGTCCAAAAAGATGAGTGGATCTGTGTGCGCAGGTTTCACATGCGCGTGTGTGCAGCGGAGGCTGGCTTTGCCAGAGGAGGGAGGTGCACTTGGAGGCTTTGGAGGAAGCTGCAGTCGCAGATGTGTGTGGTCGGGGACGGCGTTTCACTTCTTCCGACTGGTTGTTTTGCCTCTGGATATGGTTTTGTTTCGCGAGGGGCCCGACGGACTGGACGGGCGATTCGGTTTGTCGTGGACCGAAATCTAATGAATACCCATGAGGAACTCGGAAGCGTTTCGATGAAAAAGCGTTCGCCCTGTGTGAGGTGAAGCCGATAGAGCTCCGCGGGCTGCTCATCAATATTTGACGACGGTTGATGGGATTGTTGGTGACCATGGCAAATGCAGTCAACGCAATGACGATGACGACGCGGGCAATACTAATAATGCCACGACCTCTGCTCGGGAGCCCGGCCAAGTGGTACTGGACTCCACGGGACAGGCGGCGTACCACAGCGAAAGCGTGATGCTGCCTGCGCACGAGGAGACAGATCTCGTGGAAGCTGTGCGACGTTGCAGGCCGAACCATGGTCGGCTTTCGTGCAACGCGTTCGTGGAGATACCGTGGTCTTCTACTTACTATTCAGTTGCGACGAGGATGGAGAGAGAGAGAGAGAGAGAGAGACTGATGTTGGATGTCGTCGTGTCGTCTTCGGCCCCAAGCGAGGCCAGCGTTTGCAAGCGACGAGCAGACGGGCGAGGAAATTTGATTGGAATCATCATTTGAGGGCGCCTCTTTTGAGTTCGTATTGCAAGGGTACCCATATCGGGTGTGGCGCTGCGGCTGCTAGGTGCATGACTTGAGAGGCAGCGCACACAGCACGACGGGGAGAAGGCTGGCGATGCGCGGAGAGCTCAACAGCAGCTGCCACGCCACGCCACGCCACGCCACGCCACGCCACGCCTCGCCTTTCCAGCAACGAACGGCAATCGAATCACTCGGAGGCAGGCCGTTGCAGGTGAGATGCTTCGTGCAATGCGATGCCAGGCCTGCGGGCAACAAGCGGTGCTCGGAGGGAGGATGGAGTAAGGTATGTGATAGGTCGTCATGGGCAGAGGCGCAAGCGTGCGTCTAAATTAAGGTAGGGTAGAGCCTCCCGTCCTCTCTCAGGAGCACACCCGAACCGTTCGGTGGAGTCGATTCTTTCGTGCTAGCCCACTAATTCCGTCCGTTCGAGAGGGCAGGACAGACACCGACACCTTCGCAGCAGAAGAAACACCTCCACTACTCGCACGCCGCTACTCGAATGTGAGAGAGAGTCTACACCTCTCGCTCGCCCACACCGTCGTCGCTCGCTACCTTATCCTTCCCATTGCTCTCGCTCAGCTGCTATATTCGACAGCCGCTCCACGGTAAGAGATCCCCTCCCGCGCCAGCCTCGGCGGCAACCGTCCTTAGCTCCACGGATGGATGCGTTCCTGACCACGAGTACGAGTCCACGTTGGCGACCCATTCCCAACCAGACCACACCATTCCATACGACACCACATCACATACACTTCACCCTCTCCACTGCATCTTATCCTCGCAATTCGCACGCTGACCGCCCTGTCGCCAGCTGTCTACACATCCACCCTCGACAGCGGGAAAACACGCCGCCCACGACGTCGCGCCCTCCTCCTCCTCCCTCCATCGACCGTTTCTGGTGAAACTCGGATCGCCCGTTGTACATACCCAAACACCACGCGCCGCCGGATGGGACTGTAGAACTGCGGACGGGCACATCGGTCGCGCCTTATTCCTCGCCGCCGCCGCCGAATCCGAGGCCGAATTCGTAAACAATCCCCGTAAACACCGGCTACATGCCAAAGGGTCTCAACCTCAAGGGTTTTGGTCGGCGCAAGTCCTCTGGCAACGCTCTCGAATTCGACGAGCCGGAGGCCGCTGTCGTGCCACCCGGACAGTCTTCATTCCGTGTAATCGAGAGACCAGAGAAGAGGACGCAGTCGACATATGGCTCGCAGGCAAACGTAAAGTTCAATTCGCCCTTGCATGCGCTGAGAGGGAAGTCGGTGGACGATTTGGGGCTGGCCCAGAATAGGTCGGTTACAGACAGATCGAAGAGCAATCAGCCAGGGTGGTTGCTAAACGGCGCTAGGGGCAGCGGTGGGACTACCAATTCGGGCTCGAGCGGACACTACGACAGCTCCTCTGCCTCAGCTCGATACAGTTCGACCTCGACCTTGCCCTCCTCCGTCGAGCAGGATCGCGACGACGAGCTGTTCGCGCCGGTGCGCAAGTCTCAAACGCAAACGCCGCACGCCACGGGCATGTACCACTCGGTGGCTGCCAATGCCGACTCACCACCGCTTCCTCAGCCTCCGTCCTTTACATCACGAGCCGCGAGAGCACTATCCTTCGGCAACAACAGAAGCAGCAAAGCGAGCAGCAGAGATGCCCCGCCGATGCCCCCGCCGCATGCGGCTACAAATGGCGCACCCCTGTATCCGCAGAGGAGCCAGAGTCCGTACAGAGAGCGGGCGATGACCACGAGCAGCTATGCCAGCACTGCCGTACCAACCAAGACGGAGCTGCGTCTGAGTGTGGACGCCTTTGGCACCGACGATTTTGGCAGCATGTTTGACAGCCTGAAGAAGGACAGTCCACCGGCCCCTGCACACCCAGCGGGCAGCTTCCACCATGCGGTAAGTTGACTGCGACCATCTCTTGGAGCCGATGAGCTAATCTGACTCAGGAGTCGGAGCCCATGTTCCCGCCAAGGACATATTCGCGTCCGGCCCCCTCTTCCTCGCCGAATGCCTTGATACTTGCGCAGAGCAGGCGGGAAAATAACGAATCTCCGTATTATTCAGACGGACGCGATTCCAATGAAGGTTTGGTATCGAATCGTAATTCGGCACTCAGCTCACCGTCCGCTGACGGGAACGCGCCCGGGCCAGCCGTTGCAAATGGGATTACCCAAGCTTTCCTTGGCAGCTCCAAGTCCGGTTACTCGCGCGTTCCTGAACACTACACGTCTCCTGGCCTGGAACGGGCATCGATCGAAAGCTACAGGTCGGTCATGGACAATGAGACGAAGGCGAAAGAGCCCGAGCGTCCCTCGCGACAGACGCAGGTCGATGATGAGGATCGATTGGTTAGGAGAATTGAACTGCACGACCCTCCTGGGTCCAGTTCGCCCGGCTCCGTGAAAGCGAAGCCCGTCACTGCGCAGCGGCAACAGCTCCATGCGTCCCATGCTACAGCGGGTGCATCGAGGGCTGATTCGGTCAGTCCTCACAGCACGGAAGCGGAATCCGCAATATACGCCGAATCGAACAACACCACACCGCGCGCGGCAAGGAGCAAGCTCAAAACGATGCCGGAGAATTCCATTCTCAATTCATCGCCTGTGGGCCCACCTTCTGCGGCCATACGACCCGGCGCCCACCAGCGGACAGACAGCGGCGGGATGAAGATGATGACCAAGGCGCAATTCCAAGCGCTAAGGCAGCGCGGAGAGAGCAGCGAAGAGCAGAGTGAAGAGGAGGATCTCTCTGGCGATGAGTATGATGATGAAGATGACGTGGAACGAGCAAAGAAGATGGCAACACAGAGGCGAAAGCAAGAGGCGAACATGTCGTTATATCGCCAGCAGATGAAGAAAGTCACTGGCGGCGGACCGACAGACCTACCATCTTCGGCTGCTTCTACGGTGAGGCCGTCCATGGACCGGGGCGCGACTGCACCGGCTGCGACTGGTGGGGGTGGCATACACTTTGGTGGTATCGGCGGTACACCGCCTTCGGATACCGTCAGGGGCAAGCCAGGCGACGACGAAGACGACGACGTTCCGCTGGGCATCTTGCAGGCTCACGGCTTTCCAACAAGCAGCAGGCCGCCCACAAGAGTTGGTGAGAATGATATCAGCCAACAACGACGGACATCCGTTGCTGGCTCGGTGGTGGGAGGTGGTGCGGGCCAAGGCAACTTGCCGCCATTCGCAAGGAGACTGCCGGCAGACCCGTACTTTGGTGCTGGACTCGTAAACCCGAGTACACGAGAATCACTGGCAATGAACAGCACCTCGGGATCTGTGGTGGGAATGCCAACTGGACAAATGACGCCGCAACCAGCGCCTTCCATGGGTCATCCAGGCGGTCTCGTTGGAGTGATCGCTGGAGAGGAAAGGGCACGCGCCGCCAGGAGAGGGAGTCCCAACATGGCTCTTGGCACGTATAACAACCCGATGGGCGGGCCAATGCCTTTGCCGCAAAACATGCCCATGCAGCCGCCGATGCCGCGTACGATGTCGATGGGCAACTTGGCACCGCCTTCGATGTATGGAGCGGTGCCACCTATGCCGCCGATGCCCCAGATGCAACAGCCTCCGATCGATCCCGGGCAACAGCAGATGCAGCAGTTCATGCAGATGCAGATGCAACTCATGCAAAACATGCTCCAGATGCAGCAGCAACAGATGGGTCAAGCGAGACCCCAAACACCCATGCAACAGCCGACCCAACAAGCACACGATTACTTGGGCGTCAACTTCGGGAACAATGCGCCTCGTCGAATGTCCATGGCAAGCAACCACTCGAACTATCTGGGACCTCCGACACCCAACCAAGGCCGGGCCATGACGATGATGAACCCTCCCCCGAGCTGGAATCAAGCTGCTCCGGCGGGCGGGCCGCGACCGAACAGTGCGATGCCCATGGGTAGCACTTCGTATGCTCCATCAGTGTCCGGACTACCCGTTGCTGGAGGTGCCGGGCCTGGTTATACGCCTTCGATTGCACCGAGCGAGAGAAGCAATATCGGCATGCCGTCGCGATATAGGCCCGTGACGCAGAATGGCGAGACTTCGAGGTCGCAGAGTATGACCTCTTCCATGACATTGCAGGCCTTTGCCAATCAGCAATCGTCGGCAAACGTAGCCGGAACACCTTACAATGGCCAGCAAATTCAGACACCAAAGTCGACGATCCGGATTGTGGACAAGCCCAAGGGCGCTCCCAAGACCGCTGCGCCCCGTGCAGGCGCTGAGGATGAAGACGACGGGTGGGCGGAGATGCGCAAGGAGCGCGAGCAGAAGAAGAGGTTCAAGCGGGGGAAGAAGAGCAGCACAAGTACTGCCAACAATGGCCCGTCGCTGAACGATCTCTACCAGGGTCTGGGATAGGAAGCCAGACGCCATGCAAGGGGAGACTCGGTCGACCCGGCGAGGCTGTGGCGATGAAGACCAATTTGTATTGACGACGACGCACCTGGATGCCGAATTGAAATGGGGGAAGGAAATTAATGTGTATCTGAAAACGCGAGGCCGGGAAAAAAAGGAGACGCATCAGGAGAGAGCATGCGTGATGCTGTCCGCGGTGCCGCTTGTCTGTTCTGTTCTGTGTTGCTTTCTTGTTCATAAATGCATGGCGAGGGGGGATACAAAAGGGCGGCTTAGCAAACCAAGCTTGAGGGTTATACCGACGCCAGGCGGATAGTCTTTGAAAAACGCGCCTCCGTCATCGTTTTTCTCATTCTTATCATATGGTACGGCGTTTGTCGGAAAAAAAACGGTGGGACCGGGCGGGGTGGTGGCTGCTGGCTGGACTGTTCAAGGTTGTGGGAAAATGGAAGGGAAAGACAGCAGGAGAGCGGGTCTAGAAATGTGTGTGTGTCGATAAAATCACTACTACTACTACCCATTGCGGAGTTGAGTCGACAGAATCGTCTGAGTTCTCCCTTTGGCCTTTCGGCGATCAGAAAGTGACGACGGACAACCGCTTCGTTCGCGCTTGCGCTCCTCTCCAAGACAACCGTTGTCAGACTCCACTCCCAAGGACAGCTCGAGCGGATCACGCACATGGGTAGCTGCATCTCTCCGGGCGTACGCTCTTCTCGACGTGCACAATTCCACTCATCCTCTCGCAAGAAAAGACGCACTTTCATGGATGGCATCAGGGCCAGCAAATTCCTTCACAACAACAATGTATACTTCACGACGGTGGAGATCCTATCTTGACCGCTCCACTTCTTCCGCCAGCGCACGCGGACGCGGCGACCGTGGCAATTAATCTCCAGCATCCAGCTCGACGGACTGTGTCTGGCTCTCGATATGCAGCGCGATAATGCTGCATGCGCTTCAGCCGCAATCATTCGTCATGTCATGGGGGGGGGGGGGGGGGGCGGGCGGGCAGGCGCCAGCCCCCATACCAGAATTAAAACAATTAATGTCTGCTTACT